TTCTTGCATAGTTGTGGGTTTCACTGCCTATTGCGTCGATAAAATGTTTATTTCGTCGCACATATTGTAGTAAGATTATGTAACTTGGCCTTACATGAGCCAGTCAATGACCGATGTAGGAATTTTAGTGTACGTACTGCCGGGCTGATAGTGCTATCAATAATAAGCCACGGACATGCATGTACGTCCGCATAATTTTTCATGAACGCACAGCATAAGGGATAACGTTTTTGAACCAGTGAGAGGTTCTTTTTACATAAAAATTACGGTATACTTACCGGACAAGGAATCGAAAACGTATAATGTCTGGTTACACTTGTTTTTACTCACTCTGTTTCACCTGTAATAACGCTTATTGGGCCTCCGTATTTGTCTCTCTCTCTCTCTATTTAGCTCATCCGTTAACATTATAATAAATAAACATATCATTTGAATCATATTTTTATCGCATTATCTTTCTCATCGACGATCGTGGTAAGAAGTTAAAGCCTTGATAACCAAACGTCTTATCGAGTACGAAATTCTCTTTCTCTCGAATCGGGTGACCATTTATAATAAAATATATATAGTATATAGTATATAGATATATTTAAATTATACGAGAAATGTTCGTCGATTGTGTAATGCTATTCGTAAACTTGAATACGGTATTTTGGAGAGATGTACTTTTGAACAGCTGTAAAAATAGTCACCTATGAATATGTGTATATAGCACATGTATAAGTAGATTACACTAGGCGTAAAATATGTGTCGATGTTTCAAAGCTCTCATATAACTTTCAAAGATAGCAGTAGCAGAAGTCGAGACAAAAACGGCATTTTCTCGTGACTCTTATACTCACTCGCGTAAAGCGTGTGCTAGGTGTATATAAGCATCACGCATACGTTGTCAAACACTCGGTGAATTCTTGCGTCCCGATTTTTATTTAAGGAAAAAAGGAGGCTAGTTTCACGATACGTAAACAATAGACGAGATTTCATCCGGGGAACTCTTGCAGACTGAGTCCGAGGCGAATGAAAATGTTTCCCATTTAACCCGTAAAATAAGTGATAGCGACGGGCGAAGTTTATACGAATTCATTGATCCATCGACTCGCTTATCGAGTGCTTATAGTAATATGTTGATGTGCAAATTGATAATCACACAAAAGTACACATTTAATGCTTCTCGCTCGTCACTTGAAATTTTACTGTTGGTAAATAGTATCTCTACTGGTCAATTTTTAAACGAGAACATTTTCTTTGCTATGTATACCAACAAGAAATTTTAATATATTTGTCAACAACAATGAGATGATGATTACAATTGCGAGCGGGTACTTCAACGACATCGGTTACGGATGTATATATATATATATATTTACATTGGACACGTGCGCGTGCGACGTTATATCTATTATTATACATATTAAACATATGTTTATACACAGGCACGTGAAGGAACAAACTCAGATGTCTTGTAATATTTTTAATGATCGGTTGAAAGTCTGGGTCGCGACACAGTGGTTAAGTTTTTCGTTACCAGTGTATCTCTTTATGGAATACGTAAATTAACAATGCTGTGATTTTTTGTTCAAGTTATTGTTTAGCTATAGCAACCAAGTTTTTTGCTCGCGACCGTGCGTGTGACGATTAGTTGATTGTGAAATCGACCGATATCTGCCGCTTGTTTGTAGCCTCGTGATTTTTAGCGCTTACTCGAGAGTTAATAGTGGATCAGGAAGTATCTTTTTATCCTTTACCATGGAGCCTCACGAACAATTTCTATTGGATGTTGACCTTGCACAAAGAAGACGTCGCCGTGTAGAATCGACAATGATACAGCGACAAAGTTATTATGTGTAGGTATTTGATAGGAAAAATTCGCGTCTATTGGAACAGTATTGTCTTAATAGTTCTTACTTCAATTGTCATCAATTTAGTACGAATAGTTTTTGCAGATAAATGTATATTCATATGCGACCAGTGTTGAGGTCAGTGGCCATTGTGTCATCAAAGGACGCAGCTTAATGCATGCACACACCCACACATATATGCAAAATACTTGAACTGTGTTTTATACATATATACGTTCTTTATGTATTATAGATATACCTTAGATCTCTCTCTCTCTCTCTCTCTCTCTCTTTGTATAATAGTTCATAGACTTATGTACTATTGTCCACCTGGGCCACATGGGGTTTCACCCCACGGTCCAATCAAATAAACAAACTCAAACTCAAACTCAAACTCTCTCTCTCTATCTCTCAGTAATTCATTATTATAGTTACTTTTATTGTTTTTCGCCACTGACTTGTACATCTACTTCAAAGAACATCATCTATTTTATTGTAATACAATTTGTTGAAGAGTATAGTGGTCATTATTTTTTTCACACGTCCCAACGGCACAATGCTTACAAAATTGCAATACACACTTATTAGGAAATTTAATTTCTCTGATCCTAGCTGTATATTTATGAAACTCGTTGAATCGATAGCTCTCAAGTATTAGAATTTGTTTTAATTGATGAATTCAAAAGCACTGTGATTTTTTTACTAGAAATATTTTTTTCTAATGATTGCGACTTTGCTATAAAGTAGACACATTGTCAACAATTTATTACAGTACTCTAGGCATTTAGTGTGGATATGCTTTTTCTGCAAAATAAGGGGTTACTTGTAGTGTCCCGAGTTTGGTTGATAAAGCATATTCACGTTAGTTGCATACATATTTATTCAATCTTCAGATTTATTTACTTCAAATTTATGAGATTTTAACACATGTCTCGAGATCATCGCGCATCGTTTTATGTAGTTATCCTTTTCTCCTCTAGTATTTCACACTCATTCTTTATTCTCTTTTCATTCTTTTCACATAATGAAAGTCAATCCTAACTATCGTCAATATTTATACCTACACAATTTATAGAGATATTTATATATAAATGGCAACGTCACGCTCAAAAGACACATGCATGTGTTGATGTGTATAATATACACATATGGCTGAATACTCTTGGCAACACCGCCGTATTTTCTTTCTCTCTCGGACTCTCGTGAGTCGAACCTTTCGCGCCTGCGCTTGTCTTTACCACGTGGTCATATGAATGTACTTAGCACATTTTCTACAAAGTTGAAACAAATTTTTCGAAACTAATAAGTTTGTTATAAATATCGTCTCTGAGTAATGCAAGCTTCGCATTTTTCATTTAATAGAATATTTGCGATACAGATATAAAAAAAGCTTCTTATCGTAGCATTATACCTTCAACTTTTTCCGAAGACGGGACTTTAAAAATAAACGATTCACGCAATCCGAGTGCGGATATTTTTTACCCTCGTAGCAATTGTACAATATGGTCCATCAAGGCTCGTTGAAGTGAGTCTTCTACAATAATGTTATAAATATTTTGATTATTAATCTCTTGAAGAATATAACTTAATTGTACAAACTTATATTATCTATGGACATGGGCCTTTTCCCACTTGATATGGCGTTGACGAAGTCGATAGAAATATCTGTTAGTAATTTAATAGTGAAAAAAAAATCTTACTTATCAATAACTTGACCGCTATCGCAATAATAGAAAAATATCTAAAACGAAATCATACTTACAAGGAGGTCTTCTCATATTCGAATCACGGATCTGTATGAAAATTTTTTTGGGGTCTCCAGGAACCTCTCTATGCTTAGTTTTATTGAATGGGCCTTAGGGCCCGTTTTAAAAGAGGTTTTCTATTTTAATTAAAAATCTTTGAGATTTTCTCTATCAAGTTAGGAGCACTTAAACAAAAAAATGCACCAATCAAAAGTTTTGAAATTTTTCAAGGAATCTGTCTGATTTTTTTCAGAATTTTTCGAATCTTTATTGTCCTATTTTACAGGTTTCTGAATTTTGCAAGAAAAGCATCAAATTAGGGTCTCTGAAAAAGGGTAATGGACGATTCAAAAAATTCTGAAAAAAATCAGACAGATTGTTTGACAAATTTCACAACTTTTGATCGGTGCATTTTTTGTTTAAGTGCTCCTAACTTGATATAGGCCCATTCAATAAAACTAAGCATAGGGAGCTTTATTATAAGGTTCCTGGAGACCCCAAAAGAATTTTGGTAAAAATCCGTGCCCCAAAGGTGAGAAGGTCTCCTTGTTAGACATACGCTGAACAAGCAAGCAATGAAAATAAGGAATTAGACTTCAATTACAATCAGCTGAATTTTTCGAGTAAAATATATGATTTTACGGCTGTGATTAATGTTAAACGGTTTAACAATCGTTTAATTTTGACATTTTATTTGTCGATTATACAAAAGCATTTTTGTAAGAATGCACTTATCATATTATTTTTATGAGCTTTGTACTAACAAAGTCGAAAAATACATTTTTCTATAAAAACTAATGATTAGGCATACATAAACATTATGCATTTTCTGTGTCAATACTCAAACTTCAATGAAATGTCCTTCTCGTTTGCTTGCAGTGATCTTGAACCTTGAAAAATGATTCAATTGTAGTATACATTCCTAAGTAGTCGATTAAAAAAATATTGAACTAATTAAATTGTTGTTCATTGCAGCGCTACGCAGAGTCAGAGTCAGGGGTCGGGTCAAATCCAACAACTAACGGTGTCGGACCTAGTCGAGGGTAGCAGAGGCGTTGGTGGCGGTGGCGGATCTGGCGGCAGTCAACGTCAACGTCATCGCCAGCAACAACCACAACAACAGCAGCATCCACATCAACATAATCAACATCAACAACATCAACAGCATCTACAACAACAACAACAACATCTACAACAACAACAACATCTACAACAACAACATCAACATCAACAACATCAACAACAACAACAGCAACAACATCATCAACGACAACTACAACAGCAACAACTGCAACAGCAACAACTGAAACAGCAACAAATACATCATCAACAACAACAACAACAACAACTACATCAACAACAAAAACAACAGCAACAGCAACAACAACAGCAACAACAGCAGCAGCAGCAACAGCCACAACAGCAGCAGCAACAGCAGCAGCAGCAGCAGCAGCAGCAACAACAGCAACAGCAGCAACAACAACAACAACAAACAAGCCAATTGCATCCCCCAAGTCCATACGCTCCTCCATTTTACTCAACCTATCACCTTCCATCTGCGGTGCAAGATTCTTACGCCTTGTCACAGAGTGGGCCGCAGCAGCAAGGGCCGTCAGCTAGTGCCGTCGTCACGAATTCGTATCTGTCTTATTCGCGCTTATCACAGCAACAGCCGTCAGCACAGCAACAGCAACCGCAGCAGCAACAGCAACAGCAGCCGCAGGGTCAAAACAACTCTCAGCAGCAGCGTCTGCACGACTTCCATTCGCAAGCGGCGGCAGCAGCAGCGGCAGGGCAGGCTGCAGCTGCAAGGCCGCATCATTCGGCATCGCCGGCGCTGCTGCAGGCGATGAACAGTGGCTCGGCCGCTGGCGGACCTGCTGGCCAGCCTATTTCGTCGTCCTCGTCGTCGCACTCTGCCGCCGCTGCCGCTGCCGCCGCTGCTGCTGCAACGTCCCAAGCTGGATTGCAAGCAGCTTCTGCAGCTAATCTGCACTCGGTAAGTACGCAAACCAGTTTGCTCGAGTAAAGCAAAATTATGGAAAGTTAATTAATCTTTCAATTTTTTTCTCTATGTTCAATCCATTTTAGCAGTCAGGAAACGAACGAAACATCACAATAATGAACATAACGGTGCCTCCGGTTGTGCCGGTACCGGCAGGTTTGCGCTACGTACATCCTTATCTGCCACCGCCACCGACGCCTGCTCATTCGGCAGCTCATCCATCATCTGTATCGGGCAACGCAACTGCCGTAGTACCGAGTATCACAGCTGCTTCTGTTTCTTCAAGTTCGATATTGCAACCAAATCCAGCCGGCAATAGACAACACGTTCCATCGTCGGTTGCCAATGCTGCTTATAGCAGAGATGTATATAGAAATACCAGTTCGAATGTGAGTGTCGTTAACCCTGTGTTCACATTATCTAGTAACTCGATGCAACTGTCTAATGATTGTAAAATTAATCGCATTTGTCCCTGAAAACAAAGATAGGTCATCATTCGGTATTAAGCATTGATTTGTTACTTGATTTTACGGTGAAAAAAAAAAATTGAAAGATTCAAATCCAATTTTCTACTTCAATAATTATTAAGCTTAACTTAACATTTTGACCCTCAATTACTGTCTTGGAGTCCAGCTGAATGACATTAGTTATCGTACGTAAAACCATCATTGCGGAAGCCACCATAATTTGTTATAGCTTCATCTAAATTTCATCTTAATTAATGTCAAAATGAGCAAGAGCTTAAGCATTTGTTAATATGTTTATCATTTTCAGGTTAATGAACGTGTTGCTATAAGCGTAGCCAGCAACGTAGCTGCAGTAGCCGATTACACGTCATCGATTCGTAATGATCGTCCTCGAATTTCGTTACTTCCATCATCGGGCTCAATTCCTTCATCGCCGGCGTCTGGTGCTCCGCCTTCATCGGCGGATTATCAAGCAGCAGCTGCAGCAGCTTTCAGAAACACACGTCAGCCGACGATATTGACGATGCAGCCTCAAGATTATCGACCGGCTGGAGTAGACATTGTACAGATACATCCAGATGCTCCACCGTTCAAAAAAATCAAATTGGGTGCTAATCATTCGAGTTCGATGCAACAGCAACCATCGCCATCTCCGAGCCAACAGCATTCGCAACATCAACCACATCCGCATCAGACGCCGCAGCAATCTGTTGAGTCGAGAATAACGAGTGCACAAGAAAATGCTAATAGACAAAGGCATATGCAGCTACAACAACCGTTAAGGATAGACGTGAGGGTATGTAATATCATGTCATTGCTCAAGCGTTGAGATGGGCACGCAAAGTTTTGTATCAAGCATATTCTAATACAACATTATTCTTACAGCAAACTTATACACCGCAAACAGAAGCTATCTCACCAACACTTCCAGAGCAAGGTAATCAAGAAGATACGGCGTTTAAAGTTACCAAAGATGATTTGCTGCAGCAGATCTCTAAGGTTGATCGTGAAATCGCCAAAAGGGAAAAAAATATTGATAGCCTCCGAAAAAAACTTAAAGAGCTTGAAGAAGTTGCTAGTCAACCTTTGGAAGCGAAACGCCCAGATGAAGAGGTTGCCCAACAGCCTAAGCATCATACACTGTCACAGAAGATTTACATGGAAAATAGGGTGATTGTCTCAAATTCTCTATAATATGCTTTAATATAAGTTTGAGATAAATCACACATTATTCTTATAATTTTTAGAAAAAAGCTATCGAAGCACATAGGCAATTCGTAAAACTTGGACCTAGAGTAAGACTGCCTTTATATAACCAACCGTCCGACACACCAATATACGACGACAATCTTGCTAGGCATCAATGCATAAAAACTCGATTGGTTGCAATTTTGAGAAAGGAACACTCTGAACGTGCAACGTTGCACCGCATGCAATCATCTACGTATGCAGTATTGGTCCAAGAGTGGCATAGAAAAGTCGAAAAACTAGAAAATACCCAAAAGCGGAAAAACAAGGAAGCTAAAAATCGCGAGTTCTTCGAAAAAGTCTTCCCAGAATTACGCAAGCAGCGTGAGGATAAGGAACGTTTCAACAGGGTAGGTGCAAGAATTAAAAGTGAGGCTGATCTCGAAGAAATAATGGATGGGCTGCAAGAGCAGGAGGTATGGGATTGTAGTAATGGAACCCATTGGCTTGTTGTTGTTATGGATGATGTTTGGCTTTATCGTACCATAAATAGATTTGCCAAAATTCAATTTTATTTGACGAACGAAAATCTATATTTGATTTGAGTATTTCTAAAGATCATACGCGTAAAAATGATTTCAGTGACCTTAGTAAACGATAGCTTTTAAGTGTCTTCTATTGGTCTAATGTGAGTGTTTAACTAATATCACGGTTTTTCTCAATACTTAATCATTTGTTTTAAAAAATTCATCGTATATTACATCAAATGGTTTGAATAATTCTAATAAATAGCAAAATTGCACGACATTCGTAATTTTTCCCCTAATTAGGTTGGTATAATAAAATTTACGATGGAACTTCCTGAAGTGCTATTAAACTGTCCATCATTTACATTTCTGCAACTAACTTATTTTTCGCTCATCGTTTCTTTATGTCATCATTTGTTATGTATTAGCGTTAAACAGTCAACAAAATTCATGTGCTTATTAAACATATTAATCAATTTTACATGCATCTAACAAAGCATCAAAAACTTGATATCTAATTCGAAGCCCTTGATTTACTTAGTTGATATTACCGTTGCCTGTGATATCGGTATCTGGTACGTTCGTGTTGTACCGTGACTCTTGATAAGAGCTGTTTTAATTTTATGAATGTAATTAATCGAGGAAATGGTCGAAAAGTTATCGACAGTTAAGGATAAAAATGTTGCATAAACTAACATAATGATGCAATAAAAAATTAATGCAAAATTGACAAATTTTTATTTTAGTTGTTTCGATCGCAAAATGATTACAATAACGAGTTATCTTACGGTTGATTCAGTAGAAACAAATGAATAATAAACTAGATCAATGTAAAAAAATAATATGATGTTATTAAACACTCACGCCAATTGAAGATAATTCCGATTGCTTTTGATTAGAAGGAAGACAAGGTTGCTGCAAATAGAGAAGCTTTATTGGACCGTCAGGTCAGTATCAAAAAACCGTGCACTTGACGTCATTGAAAATTTAACAAAAAAACGATTAACTTTTGTTCATCATTATCATTATAATCATCATCACACTTACTACAACAAAGCCATATAAATAAATACAATTTTAACAAATGAATAACTCGAACAAACAATAACTATTACAGCTGGAGGATAAGAAAATGCGGTCTTATGCCGTAATACCACCTCTTCTGTTAGATGCTAGACAGAGACGCTTAGCCTTCCAGAATCGGAATGGTCTTTTAGCACCAGAAGAGCTGGAATCATTGCACAATGAGCGTAAAAGCATTAACGTTTGGACTCCTCAAGAGCACGATATGTATAAAGAAAAATACTTGCAGCATCCGAAAAATTTCGGTGCTATTGCTCAAGCATTTGAACATAAGTCAGTATCAGATTGTGTTATGCACTATTACCTAACGAAGAAAACTGAAAACTATAAGCAAATGCTGAGGAAGTCTAGACGAACACGGACGCGTAATAACCCTAATAATAAGGTTGGTACTACTTTAGTAAGTTTATTAAAAGTTGAAAATTACTTTTATAAATAAATTGAAGATGCATTGAAGTAAAAAAGAAAATGAAAAACAATTTCGTGACTTTTAATCTTTGTTTGGAAACTATAGTTGACTATTCGATAATAGTTATATATGCAACAAGTGCCCAAAAGGCGTTTTTGGGCACGAGTGTGCGGAAAAAGACACGAGTGTCGGCCATGCCGGCACTGTGCGCAAATGCTGGGCACGTGTTGCATACTAGATTTAGGTAACAAGTGCCCAAAAGGCGTTTTTGGGCACAAGTGTGCGGAAAAAGATACGAGTGTCGGCCATGCCAGCACGAGTGGGTGTTTTTTCCGCACACTCGTGCCCAAAAACGCCTTTTGGGCACTTGTTACATAAATAACTATTTCGTCATACTATTGCATAAATTAATATTATTGGTTTGAGTATATTCCAATTGAAAGGTTCACATACATACATTTCATTTCTTGGTGAAGACTAAGCAATGTATTTTAATTATTACGTAAAAATCATATTATTTAATTCTTAAACGTAGATGATAATTTAATTTTATAACTAAATTTAACTGCAGGTTAATAATGCAAATGCGAACATTGGACCTATCGATATTTTCACAACGGGTGTAACGACAAGACTGCAGCGTGAGCAGCAACAAAAAACTCAAGAAAATCCTAGTGCAGCAGCCGCAGCAGCAGCAGCCGCAGCCGCAGCCGCAGCCGCAGCCACCACCGTGTCAACAGCGTCGACTACTACAACATCATCTGCATTGAGTACAACTGCAACTAATAGCAATACCAACACTACAAGTTCCTCAACAATAACAGTTGCTTCAACAGTCTCGACAAGCGTTTCAACAACTACGGTGTCAACGTTAGCTACGAGTTCTACGGCAAATACTCATAACAGTGGTGTCAGTATTCATAGTAATAGTAACACAGACACGACTTTGACAATTACCACATCGTCATCGACATTGCAAACGACGTCGGCAGTAAGCGGGCCTGCAGTCGCGTCCGTATCATCCGTCCCGAGTACTAATGCATCTTCAAATAATGCTGGTGTACTCACTAATACGACGACGACTCTAGGCAGTAGTACAGCGTCCACGGTAAGCGCCAAAGACGCACGGGAGGCTAACAAAGAAAACAAAGATGTTAAAATCGAGACGAAAGATACGCTAGTGCTGTCGAATAAAGATGCCGTCGATGAAAAATCCCCTTCGAGCAGCGATAGTCGAGATTTAAAGTGAGTAGTAGAGTTGAGATGATGAATTATTTTGATCAATTATATAAGAACGTATACCCGCTAGCTTGGAGTAAATTCAATTGGTAAACAAGAATGCTCACCCCACTGCGATCAACCCTTTCTAAAATGTGCTTGACGATAAAACTGAGTCAGTTTTCATAGTCTCGCGACAGCAAATTTTATCATTATTAATTCGTCAATCTGATGTGAATTCTTATTCTCTTAAAAGCAATTCGAATAAATTCAATAAAGTTTTCCGGAAAAGCATTTATAGAAATTTTATGTAAATTGGCATGCATATTCTAAATTAGTTTGAATTTGCTTACACATGCAAGCTAGGAAGGGTAGATACGTAATTTAATTACATCAATATTATTTTAATTAATTGGGGAATTATTAAATGTTTGCATGAATTGTTGCAAATCAATGATTTCTCTTATTAAATAAATAAACTTTTATTAGCCGATGCGACAGCAGCAAAGGTGCTTTGTCCTCATCTTCGAACGTAAGCTTAAATAATGCTTCTTGTGTGGACAAGAAAAAAGGAGTCACGACAACAATTGTTGGTGGTGCATCAAGTAGATCTAAAGATAAAACGAAAAAAGAAAATCACGCAACTCCTATGGAGACTAGTGACGAGGACGCGCAGACTCATGATAGTTCAGGTGAGTAAATTTTTATTCCAAATTTTAGTGAAACAATAAAATTCACTTTCAATGAAAGCTCACAGATGAAATTGAATTATCTCATTCGAAAAATTCCCGATTACGTCGTTAGATTTTATACTCACTTTAAGCAATGATGGACTTTTTCTTCATACTTCGAGAACTAGGGCTCTTTTATATTTATGTTTTTTTGAAAGTTTCCGAAAACTTTGCATTAGAGAGTCAAAAATGCTCGGGCATTGTTTTGAAAAATTGATATGTACCAAAAAATAAAATCGATGTTATATTAGTTGAGGTAATTAAATACAAATAAAACAAATTATCATATCATTTGGTTGAAAATTGATCGTGAGCGCTTACGTACAAATCCCAACTACGCATATGTTCGCACGAGACTAAAATTGCAATTATTGACCCGATAATATCTAAATCCCACCTACCTGGATGTACGTATAAACTTTGCTCAAATGTATTCAGTATCAAAATAATAATTGTGCAACATCAGCGAGTATCATCGAAAGCCTCAACATACCTCGTTCCTCCTATTCTTCTATGTATATTCTACGAGGCAACGCAATATACATAGGCCGGCTTAACGAGTGTTTCTCTCTTTCTCTCTTACGAGAGCAGAGAGATTCTGCATTTACAGTGCAAATAAACCCAACTGCGCGTTGAGTCTGCATGCAATCATATACGAGGGTAAATCTCTCTGTCTCTCTCTCTCTCACACTCACTCTGCAAAAGGCTTTACAACCCCACTTGCTCACTTATGTATAAACGTTTATAATTGGTATAATTACATGCTAGGTATTACTCATATGTATAGATGCATAAGTTCATAGCGTAATAATTATAGAATAGAAAGCGTTGGTTAACAATAATTTACTTAATTGCCTTTTGTGAAAAGCAGTGCATGATACGTATACGGATAATATACGTATATTTTGCAACTGTTTGATGGTCGGTCGATGGGGGATGGATTACCGCTATAGGTGCATTGCGTGCCGTTGTTGACACTTGAATTTACCTCTCATTTTGCTGATACTCGTTCATATTGATATTTTAAAACAAGACGTAATCGGGTTGAGCTATTAATAATTATAAAAAAAGAGCATAGTGTACATATGTTTTAGTAATATTTTTATTATCATAATGAAAAACAATTGTTTGCTATGTACTTCATTCTTTGATATTATTGCTAATTATGTATAAATACAATAGATAGAAAATTCGATGTCGATCTTGAAATTTTTTCGCGCAATAATTATGCGTGATATGTTTACGCACACTTTCAGGATCAATTTCGATTCACCATTAGTCAATACCCTGTATAACATAATTGAATCTATTCAATATAAGCTATAAATAAACTCCTAAAAAGTCGCAAGAAATTTAAATATGGATTCATGTTGTACTAATTATACATTATTTGAAATTCAACTGACACCCTGTCATCAAACACGCGGCACTAGGCAGTTTTCAAATTTCGACAATTTTATCATCCTCGTCGTCTTCAACTTCGTCGTCGACGTCATCGATTCCTTTATTTTCGTCGGCGTCACAACAGTTCTCGCTATCGTTCAACTTGAAATCTGCACGAAGCCAGGGTCGAAAATTTCATACTGGTTGTTCATGCTGTTTAATTTCAGTTACGACGCATGTATCTTCATTTGCGCTCGTACTAGCTTGTTGTCTCTGCTCTTGCTCTTCTTTTTTTGTTTTGTCGTCTTGATCGATCTTCATTGACTGCTGCTGTTGTTGCTGCGTTTGCTCATCTGTATTAGCATGACAGAGTTTTCGATGTTTGTGCACAAAATAATAGCTAGGAAATTTACTTCCGCAAATTTTGCACGGATAGTACTGTACGTTGAGATCCAGCAGACGTACTTCGCGTTTTCTCGTCTGTTGTTGTTGATGTTGTTGTTGCTGCTGCTGTTGTTGTTGTTGGTGTTGGTGTTGTTGTTGTTGTTGTTGTTGTTGTTGTTGTTGTTGTTGTTGTTGCTGTTCATGTTCATGTTGTTGCCGCTGTTCCGGCGTCAAATTAGTCGGTAATATGTGGCGCCGAGCGTGTTTACGGTAGCAGTATTGAGACTTGAAACTGTGGCGGCAATAGTTGCACGTGTAGACGCGCGAGTTGGTCGCCGTGGACGAGGCCAATTTCTTCTCGGTGTTCTCGTCGTTTTCCCGATTTTCCTGATGACGTTGATGCTGGTGGTGGTGAAGTTGCCCGTGACCGTCTAGATTGCTCGAGCTCGTGCGCTCGTTGCACTGACGAACCTGCAGCTTTAAAGCACGACAATATCGCATGTTAATATGAATCGATGCTTTGCATGGGTTCGCTCGAAGCATAGCTGCTCACCTGATTATTGATAGCGTTGGGGGTGTAATTTTCGTTGAGCACTCGGTGAAAGCGTACCGGTCCGTCGCAGTAGGCAACGTCGAAAATCACTCCTGTGGTATTAGCGTTATTGCTTTGATTGATCGATGTCACATGATTGCTGCCGGTCGTGTCGTTGCTTCGCGAAGAATTGGCTCTTTTTTGGAACATCGACGTCGCAAATTTGTTGCCTTGTTTTTGGCTGACTCGCTGCTGTTGACGATGGTTCGTCGAAGATGTCGTCGTGGTCGTTACGACCGATACTCGCCCACTGCTGGTACTGGCCGACGAATTGCTGTTGGCCTCCTCGCGTAGCCTGTTGACGGCGTTGTTGCTCTCTCTCGCCGAGCAAGACGAGGAAGAAGATGCCACTATGAGTTCGGGGCTAGCAGATGCCGAGCGAGCCGCGCCACTGTTCTTCCTTGCGATTCGTTGCGAGTGATTCGAGCACGGCGACAGGGAACGTTCTCTGGGTCTAGCGAGTAGAAAAAATTAAGAAACTACCGTCACGACGCTTCATCTCGATCATCGTACTTACTCGTTGATGGGCGAAGGTGCGAGCTTGAGCTGTTGCTGCGGTTGATGCTGAACCGATGCAGCCAACGGAGCTAGCGACGGCAGTATCGGGCCTAGCTGCAGGCTAGGCAAATGCGCCAAATCCAAATGGTGCCGTGCGTGCTGATAAAGGTGATGGTGATGAGCCGGCGGTGGCCAGGCGAAGCAACCCACGTTGAGCAATCGATTCGGCACCGGACGCAGCACGCTGTTGCTCGACGAAGAGGTCGAAATGGCTGCGCTCGCCGCCGTAGTCGGGCCCGTCGTCGTTGTCGTCGTCGTGGCCGTCGTCTGGCTACTCGGGCCCGTTGAACGCAACCGAAGCAACGCAGCGCGACACTGCTCCAGCGCACCGGGCATGTGCAGCAAGTGGGTGGCCAACAAGACCGTGTAAATGTTGTCGAGGGTGACCTCGAGCCGACCCGTGTACATGTAGTTTAGCAGAGGGGCGAAAGCTTCGGCTCCTGAAGAAAGACGAGGGCCCGTTTACGACTCGACCGATGGTCTTTTTTTGGAAGCAAAGGGACTTACCAACCGTCGAGGGCACGGTGACCGATGCAACGCTCGGCTGGCCGGTTTCTGACACATGCGAGTTGGCAGCGTTGCCGACGTCTGCGCTGGCCAGTACAGCCTTGAGATAGCCACTGTGCGCCGTCAACACGGCTCTGTGAGCGACGAAGTGATATTCGGCCTCGTTACCGACTCGCACGACCGTATCCGGTGGTGCCGATAGCGAATCCAATCTCGCGTAATTGTTGATCGACGTCGCAGCCGATACCTCGTCGCCGCTCCCGAACCAAGCTCTGTACAAACTGTACATCTTGACTGATGTCCCTCTTGATTAAGCTCGATCTTATTTCAAGGGCGATTTTGCGAATGTGCGTTACGGTCAAAAGCTCGAGCACTTCTGACGAAGCCCGTGATTTGAACGCTCGTGAGAAGTACCCGGTGGCGCGCGTCGTTGGTCGGCTGCGCTCCGACTGACTCCCACCCGCAGAGAGGCGCGCAGAGAGCGCGAATAACCGCGCATAAACTCGCACTTTAACAGAGACAGAGAGAACCGCCCCCTTTGTGGATGAGCTGATTTCGTGTACGTGTAAAATTGGCTGCAACTTTTTTCCTTCTTATGCGAAGCTGTTAACGGGAAAAATTTCAAAAATGAATCGAGTGCCTTAAACTTTTGAAATAGTTATTTCATTTATTCATCATAATTTTCACCAATCAACTTTTTTTCTTTCTTTTTATACCAATATAATTACTGCGGGAGGTACAAACTGACCGTGAAGCTCACTCTTCAGTTAAATTACTCGCTCTTTATTAAAAACCGATAAGAGGGTGGTTGCGGACTCGAACGCGCGCGCACCGTAGAGTCGGCTAATTTGCTCAATGCATGTAAAATTCATGAAAAATTTCGAAGGAAGAAAATCGCAGGGCGAGCTATCATCATGAAGCTTGCAGCAAGCTCTGTTTTTCATTTCCTTTCTGCTTTTTTTTCTTTATTATGCATTAGCAGGACGCTCGGATTATTTCAACTTAATTAAAGGGAGTTGTATTTTTCCAAGTATTGATATTCATACGTACAAATTGAATTTTTCTGAAAAGTATCTCATTCGATGCAAATTATAAGCCAAGTAATGCATAAACGGCGGCGTGTATAGTCACACACGAGTGCGTAAAGTCCGAAGCCCAATGGACACGACGCGCTTCCACGGATCGGAGGACCGTAGATCGAAATACCTCACAGGCAATAATTTGTCGCCTTGCTTTGCTCTCGCGCCAAACAATGTATAGAGGGAGAGACGAAAGCAGTAACAGCAATAGCAGCTCCGCGATTAAACATTATTTCCCTCGAGTATTTCTGATTCACAATCGCCCTACGCGCAGCGCGGCGGCGGCAGCATTGCATACATTCGCAGCATTGAAGTGCCGCCGCCGTTGCTTTAAGGTTCATCATGCACTCGCGCGATATATAAGCGATTCTCGCATCGCTCATCCATCGGGAGGATTATCTCTCGTTGTTCGTTATCGTCAACGCATTTCAGCCTCGTTTTCGTCCTTTGAGACTTCGATTGTCCAGATGATTGCCGTTGAGGGATGCAATAGTGCCCGGATGCGTGCAAGTTTACATGTTAATGTTACACACTGTTTGTTACATACATGAGCATACACAACTTTCTTGTGCAAGTTGTATCGGGACATGGGGGAAAAGGAGTAACAACCGACCAATTCGGACGATTAAAAATTATGTTTTATAATGCGATATAGTTTTACACGTATTTAAAAAGAGCCAGAGAGAAAAATCTACATAAAAAACCCTCGAAATATTTTCCCTCGCGAATTTACTGGACGAGAGTTGGTAAGAAAGAAAGAGAGGGAGAGAGGAATTCTCGTGTAATATCGTGAAAAGTGTTTGCTTTTGAAGAAGCTTCTCGTTCCCTTGTTCCAAGTAGAAGCATTAAATCGACAACGATCGAGAGATTCTACATTTTTCCATACCCTGATACCTTTCTCGTTCCTTCTATTCTTTTTTTCTCCATTTTTTACTTTCGTTCGCTGGCATTTACCTTTTGTACTTTTATTCAGTCTCCGGACAATTATCATTGCAATTTTCTTTCGTCCCACTTGACTCGCGTGGAAATATCGTCATTTTTATGTTTTCTACATTCCGAGCACGTGCCTTTCAAATTTATAATACCCATGAAACATAATCGAATTAAGCTCACGAATATAGGCGTGCGACAGTTTACTTTGAAGTCGATGTCACCCGCACACATCATGGCGTTTTAACACGTGCTTTTGACCAAAAAAGCTAGCGCATAAACAAACAGTTTCTATAGTACCGAGAGACGAAAGAGGGAGAAAAGAGAATCTTTTCATCTCTTCTGAGCGTATGTTACATACAAAATATTATGCGTTTATACGCTTGTATATGTATTTTTGGGAAACGTGGATAGGGGGTGCCAGGGGTAGAAGAGTGTAGCGAGTTTAATTGCCGGAGCGAAATTAAACGAAGAGAGCGAGAGAGAGAAAGGCTAATTAGCGTCTTGATTTACTTAATCCCAATTAATGGCAGGTAGTAGTAGAAACGAGCTTTGCTAGCTATCACTACACTCGCTCTTGGGCAAATAGTACACGTTGGATTACGTACGAATCGTTTGGCTCTAACTGAAGCTCAGTTGGTTTTCGAGGATGCGCAGAAATTATTTATATTCTAGTCTATATGATGTGTATAAAAGCGTTATGATAGCTACATAGCGTTTCAGCGAAGGATTGCTTAGAGATGTTTGTCTTTTAGTTGCTAGTAATAAGTTGATTCGCTCGGTAGAAAAAAACTCCATGTAAATCAAGTTTTTGATGAAAATCATCCTCCGATGATTAATACTAAAATAATATATACAAGATCAATTTTTGCGAAATAACTGCCACAGAGCAGTGCAATGGAAAGCAATCGTCATCAATGTCGCGTGTAAATGACATCTGCTGATTTATCATGTATAGTATGTGTAGGTGTACGTATTGGCGTCGGCGGTGCTGGTCAAGAGCGACAAGTGTGGGGTGGGCTGGGCTTTGCGCTCGCAATTTTAATCGCGTACAATATACACAGACACGAGCGTGTACGCGGGCGTCGCGCATAAAACCGATGGAACGACACGTAGCGGTACTCGATGTACGTTTCAAATGAAATCATCGTCATCGCTTAAAATTATCACGTACGTTGGTATCGATATCAAAGCGTACACGCATGCAAACACGCATCATGCATGATTTTTCTCTCCCCTCTCATGTCTTTCAATTTAAGGGAGAGAGAGAGAGAGAGAGAGAGAGAGAGAGAGAACGAGTGTGTATACATATATCTCGAGGGAAAAGTCGAGCTTGTATGTGGCACGGTAGAAAAGTTGTTTACTTTTAATCATTTTTAAGCGGGCGCACGCACATTGTAAATATACATTCTCAAAATCTCATAAATACGTAATAGCAATGCAGCAATACGTGCGTGATGTATGTTGCTTACTCTATATAATTTGATAAATGTATCCCTTTTCGCTCTCTCATTCTCTCTCGATCTTTTTTCTTCTCTGCCTCTGCGCTTTGTGCATCCATGTTCGTGCATCTCAAATTTGAATTAATTTAATCAAAAATAACATATTTAACGTTTAATTTATTTTGCCCTCGGCTACCGTGTAAAAGTTGATAATTTTCAGACATCATACGTAAAATGCGTCGCGATTGCATAAGCAAAATAATTGCTTCGTATACGCATAACGGGTCAGTCAACAGGAGGATTATGACATCTGCTCGTTTATTCCTTTTGATATAATTTCGCGCGCAGCCTCGTTGCCGTGTGCTGCACAGGCATTATATAACTGTAAAAGGTGTACATTCGAAGAGAATTGAAAATGAGAAAAGGGACAAATAAGGCGTGAATCGGGATTAGAGCGTATACAGAAAGGCATCCGTGTACGTTAGCCTACGCGCGTTCTCTATCAAAGGGAATAATTACCATATCTTTCGATATATTATCACGTAATTAGTCGTGAAACTTCATTTTTCAAAAAATCTTGCTAATTTTAAGTTATAGTCTGTATGTCAATACTCGAGGCGAAAGATTTTTTATGCAAGTTTTTCATTTTTCTTTTCTCTCTCGCTCGCTGACTTTGAGATACGTATACATCTCGACAGTATTAATTGCGCAAACGCACTTGGTGACTTTTTGATCAAATATGCAATGGAGCGACCCGCGCTTTCTACCGCTAGACCATTGTTTCTTCAAATTAAACGCGACTCTTTGCTGCTGCTCTGTGCAGCCAATGTTGAATTTTTTACCTTGATGAACAATTCGAGATTATAAAAGGAAGGGTCTGCGTGTGCATGTGTGTTCATACGCAAGGAATCATCATCGGATGAAGAACGATGATTATGTCATCAGACAAAGAGAATCATTTTAACCCTCTTTTTTTATGCGCTCGAGTGCAGTTCAAGGATTTCTTTTACAGAAAATTTTGCCTTGTTTGGTTTTTCTTCGTTCTTTCTCGAACAAAATCAACGGCAATTATGATGGAATTATACATTGAAGCTGATCGAGTTTTTCAAAAATCATTCATAATACTATTGCAGTACGAAGTGTCTATTTCAATTAAACCGTGCGATTAACGAAGTAAAAAAAAGTTGAAAAATCCATACTCGCGTATGCCAACTATTGGGGGGACAATTGGGATTTCGATTGCAATGCGTAAAAGTTGACACGTGCATGTTCGTAGGTTTTTAAAAATTTCCATCGAAATGACTGAAAGTCTCTAGAGAAAAGCCAAAATATGAGTTGCAACCACTGGACGTTGAATTGTACATAATTGAATGAATTATAAAATAAGTGACATATAATGATAACGCTGTGAAGCGAAAAAATCTTTGCAACCAAGACCCATGCAACTCAATTTCGCATATTATAGAGCTGACGCGCGCATAAGTAAACAAGCACAAGTTTCGCGAAGGCGAATTTTTTTAATTGGCAATCGTTAATTAGTAACGTGCGCGAGCGCCTAATTATTCCTCGTTTTTCGCCAGACTCTCCTCGTTCAATTTTTTTTATTGTATACATTTTTTCGCTGGCTCGATTAAAAGTACTTTTTTCACATGACTAATTAGACAAATTTCGACCGTGTTAAAATAGTTCGAATTTCATAGTTCACGTTTTAGTATAATTGAAAAAGAAACAGGACTATAGAATCATAATAATAAAAGCAGTAACTTTTCAAATTGCTCCGTGCGTAATATTAGTACAGATTACAATCAAAGGGTGGATAGGCTTCTCTTATATCTCAACCATTAATAAGCAATCGCTTTAAATATGTACAGTCAGCCATTGCGTGCATAATTTAACAAGTTGTTCGTAAAACCGTCAAGGCAAAATCTATATTTTAGCTCAACTTAACAGGTTTATTTAACTCTATTCCCATAAATACATGCTTGCATCAATGTAAGTTTATATACGTCCGGTTCGGTTCGCGTGCTATAAATCGCGTTATTAGTATATTTGATTTTTATCGTTGCATTTTTTTCTCTGCGGAAACTGAGTGTTTTACCTTGATTACTGAATCAAACATTTTATCGTTTTCTAGCAGATATGGCTGGCAGACAATTGGGGCCGTATCCATGTGCTATCTGTCAAACGATCATCGAAGCTGGTCACCAGAGTCGACCTCTCGCGAGATCACAGGCCTCACAATACGGTTTAAGAGAAGACCAAGTTCAGCCCGGCGCTCGAGTATGTAATACTTGTCGTTGTAAATCTGTGAGAGGACGATGCACCACCTGTCCGCTGCCAACTTGCCCAAATGCCAGTGGAAATGGGGCGAGTGGTTCTTCTGGATCGGCTACGGGACCGAAGCAAAGGATTAAACGATTGAGGGCTTTACCTCCCAAGTGGATGGACCTGCCGCCTGAAATTCGTGATTCTATAGTGCAGGAATTCCGTAAGAATTTTCATCATAAAATAATCTCAACAATAATAATAATATTGATGAATAATTATGATAATTTTTATAATCACAGAAATTCCAAGCAACGCAACAAAATGTTGTTCGACGTGCTTTAGCCGTATATCTCGACGCTTGGCTCCTCATTTTGCGAACCTTGGAGAAAGTCAAATATCTGGAACCTCGTCAAGCAATATCGCCGAAGAATCAGCTCAATGGAGCGAGGAAGAAATAGATAGACTCAAAAAAGGGTTGCATGAGCATGGTCCCAATTGGCAAAGGATGCACGAGGTTGTCAGAACAAAGTCAGATCTTGAATGCAAACAGTACTACATGACTTTCAGAAAGCGTTTGAGTTTGGATCAACTAGTTGCTGAATATTACCAGGCCAAAGGTGAAGATCGACGACCATGCTTGACCGACGAGGAAGAAAGTAATAGCAGTACCAGTAGCTGCGATGAAATGCCCGTACGTTGCTCTTTATAACTTTTAATTACGTTTGAATTCTTTTTTCTTTCACTTTTAATCTTTGGAGAAAAGGCTTTAGTAGTTTTTGTTGGAATTTAAATGTTTGAAAATTTTTTCTTATTTTTTGTTGGTATTTTTTCAAAGATATATATCTATATTTATAATAAATAAATCATAACTATTTAATTATTATGATCGAACGCGGCGGTCTCGTATCTACAGCAACAATTGACAAAATGACTTAAAAAAGCTCGTTCCAACTTATCATTATTTATAAGAGAATATATTATCTAAATGAATATTTTATTAAAATGTGCTAGTGAAAAATGCACAATTGTTTTGCTTATATCAAAGATATAATATTCTCTTATCAGAAAAATAAATTCAAAACTCCTTCGTGAAATGATAATAATACGAAATCAAAAAGCCAGTGAGGCTGAGTACAAAAATTTGATCGGCAAGAAAAAGAAAACATACACCCAAAAAACACAAAATAAACTAAATAGGTGCATGACTCGAGCGATACAAGGAGCGCTGACAGTCCGACGCATAATCATATAACGAGCAGCGCCCAACAGGCAGGGTTGAATTCTAGCAGTATGTTGGGTGTTCTGCAGCATCATCAGAGCCATCTTCCACCGGTTCGGAAAGTTATACTATTGGATGGAGGGTCCGGAAGTGTTCCTCACTCTGGGCTTTTGGTGTCACCCTTATGCCCTAGTATTTCTTCAGCTACCGTTTCTGCTACGACACTCTCGACAAGCACAACAATGAGCGCTAAGGAAGACTACGATAGCTCTGCCACGGTAAGATGATCGTTTCCGGCGCACAGCTTTCTCATATGTATAATTTATCCTGAATATCATCGATGTTATTATTGCTGTCACGATTATGATTACAAAACTCCATCCTAAAATCCTTAATTATTTGTCAATTATATTTCACTCCAATTTAAAAATACTATATACTTTTTTCCTCTCTTCTCCTCATTTTATTAATAGTAATGAAGTTATAATCTATTTTTTATTTTCAATCATTTTTTATTAATTTTTTATCATTCAATTTTTGTTTATACTCTTGTATGATTTGTGAAAGATTTGTGCTGGTACTCGATTTGATTTTTGGCAGGGCATCATATTCTTTCTAACCAATCACAAACATGCACTTGTCACTTAATCCATTTTTATTATGGTCAGTATCATGTGGATACAAGCGATTTACACACACACACAGTTTTAATGGGATAAGGTCCTTGATACAACACTGAAGATTTATCGATCTAATTGTGATAATGATATTTCAAAGTAGTAATTTTTCCTCTGTCGAGTATGTTTTTCTTTTTCATCATTGTGTACATATTTATGTAGAGAAATTAAAAGTTATTTTTAAGAGTATTCAAATTAATGAATTTTTGATAAAATTTCATGTGTGAGCATGGACGTTCAACATCTGAAGAGAATTCAACTGGATGGAATTAAGCAAGAAGAAATAATCATCGTCATCATCTTCACCATCATTACTATTTTCATCGCTCGATAATTATTAACTCATATTTCATAGTTATTTAAACAAATCTCTCACGACTCTGCAAGAGTATAATCAATTCAAATTTTCTCATAAGCGTACCTGTAGACACATAATAATTGCGATCATTTATAAAACAACGTCATTTACTTTTATATGTAATTACTATATAAGGTCTGGTTTGCTTTCAACGCGACCGCCGCCGACGAATCGAAATTAAGAATTGAGAGAAATGTTTTTTATACAAATATTAAAAATTTTTCTTCTATGCATACCGTATTAAGTACTTATAGTATAAATTTTAATTTAATGCTATTTCAAAGTATCGACGTCAATTCAGGTTTTCAATTTTACTATGTTACAGGAAACTGCGGATGAGGTTTGCAGCGTTGATTTAGAGAATAGTGGTAACAACACTTCAAATGCCACAGCGAATCCAATTAATCAACAGCAAGCAAGCCAGCAGATGACAATTCTATCAATACCTCCTCCTCAGCAGTCGGCTTCTTCGCCCCCTTCTTCAGCTGGAAACAATCCGCTGACCGTAAAGGTAAAAAATTATAAATTTTTATGCTTAGAATTCATTGTCTTATATTTCCGCCATAATCATTATTTCATTATAAATCATTATTTAATTTCAGGATTTGATGCTTGGTGTTATTGAAATGCAACTCAAGAGAAATCCTAATACACCAAACGATCCGGTTTCAAGCGTGCCAGTAAGCTCAGGCACTCCAACTATTTCAAGTATTTTGACTGAACATCGTTTCCCATACAAAGCTGGGTCAAGCTCTTCGGGATCCGCTCTGCAACAGCACTCAAGACCATCTGAAAGAGAACAAAATCGAGCTACTCTTTCGGTTGTTTCAAATCCTCATCATGGCCACAGAGCAGCGTCTAGTCCGCAGCAGTTGGGTCAAATACAAACAAGTTTAACGGCTAGTCAAGTTGCAGCATCATCCCAGCAGCAACAAACTCAAGCTCAACAGTCCCAATCGCAACAAGGTCAACCTAATCAAGACATGCTACCTAAAGAAGGTCTTGTTGTTATGCAAGTACAGCAAACGGCAGCAATGAGGGACACAGAGGGTACACTGGACCTCTCAATCAAAAAGCCTCGCCAGCAAGAACAAAATCACATGCTGCAACCTCCGCAGCAAGTACATAAACCAACTGTTGTAAGCCATTATCGACCAGAGCCTCCTCAACCAACAACGTACTACCATCCTCATCCTGGTCATCCTGGACATCCCGAACCTCCACGTGGAGCGACGAAGAGTCCTCATATATACGTATCGTCGCCAAGACCTCAAGCACCGATCACAACCAAGATCGGTAAGGTGCAAGGACCCCAGGTCGGATCTCACCAAAAACCGACTCAAAAAATGAGCGGTATGCCGGGTAATGTGCACAAGCCCGGTGGTTCGATTACTCATGGTACACCAGTGACGAGTACACGATTTGAAGTACTGCGTCAAATGACTCCACCGGGTAATATCAATCAGTCTAATCCGAGTCCTAATCCTGCTAGTGGAAAAGAAGGCGGCTCGATCACTCAGGGCACACCTGTTCATCAGTATGCTGTAGACAAACGGAGCGGTGCTCTGTACGATTATCATCGCTCGATCAGGCACTCACCGGTTAGTACAGCCAATGTTCCTCAACAATCGCCAAGCTCTGGTGTAGTAGTCAGTCATGGCCAAAGTAGCAGCAGTGGAAGCCAATACAATTCTTATACTCCACGCCAGCCTTCAAGCTACGCTATGGAACCGATGTCATCGCGACAAATTATAATGAATGACTACATTACTAGCCAGCAAATGCTTCCACGTAATCGGGGCGGTAATCCAGCTGAGGCCAACAAGAGCGAAACACAAGCACCGGGTAGTATGTATTGTGCCAGCACTCCTCCACCACAATCTCATCAACAGCCACGACAGGGTGTTATTCAAAGGCATAATACACCTAAACACTTTACGGCTCCACCACCTGGCTTAGAAGCTTTTTCTAGTCTCGTGGATGTTGCTGTACAGCAACCAAGTTTACCCGTTCCTCACGCTCCACCATCAGCACCTAGCAGCAGTGGAACTCACGAGGGCCTTGTTATGTCGATCGAACGCATGTATGGGGATCGTTACGGGGGCATAGACAGTCGTGGATTACCGAGAATGCCTCGTGGACAAGTTACCCAGTACCAAATGGCTGTAGCTATGGAACATCAACAAAGAGAGCGTGAAATAATGAGAGAGAAAGAAGAACAAGAGCAACAACAACAGCAAAGGATTCAACGCGAAAAAGAACATCAGCAACAAATGGATCGCATTCATCAGCGGGAAAAAGAGATTCAACAACAGCAACAAGAACACAGGTTGGTTCAGCAGCAACAAGAAATGGCTGCGGCTCATGCTCAAGCTGCTGCTGATCACAGAGCAGCCGTTCAGCGTGAAAAAGAAATACACCATCAGGACCAGCATCGATTAAGTATTCAACGAGAAATGGATAAGCAGCATTACAGACTCGTACAACAGCAACAACATATTGAAAAAGAGATGCAGCATATGGCTGCCGCTCAGCGCGAAAAAGAACATCAAGAGCACAAAATGGCTGTTGCACAAAGAGAAAGAGAAATTCAGCAACAGCAACAGCAAGAAATGAGAATTGCTCATCAAAAACGAGAAAAAGAGATGGCACAACAACAAGCTTACTTGCAACAAAGATATCAAAAACAACAGTCGCAACATATGCAACACCGCATGGAATCAGAACGTCAAAGAAACATCGTTTCTCATATCTCCTATAAAGATATTGAAAGCCAAAACTTATACCGTGACATGACCGAGCGACAGTGCGACTCGCCAGCTAATGTCAAGACTGGTGCGTACTATCAACCGTCGAGAATTCAACAACAGTCTCACCCACCGGCGCCTTCGTCCTCAAGACAACAGCACAATCAAACATCTTCATCATCATCATCTTCATCGAGTCAGCAGGGTAAAAACAATACTTTAACAGCGGCGAGTTTGATTGATGCTATCATCACGCACCAAATTAATCAAGGCTCAGGCTCGGATGGTTCAGGACAATCCAACAGTAATCAGCCTACTCGTCCTGGTGATAGACTCTTCCAAGTAATTATACATTTATCAAACATTTTTGTTGTAATTTACGTTTTTTTTTAACGCTTTCCTGTATTTGTTCTAGGGTTTTCATCGAGATAGCCCTGCTGAACCTAATGGTATGGTACATAGTCCAGCTAACGATGACAATTCAAATCGGGATAATAGTTCTTCCAGTGGTATTAAAGGTCTTACCATTGCTGAACATGTTGAACATGTTGTTAATAAAGATTACACACCTTCTATGTCTTCTTATCGACCTTACTCTGGGTTAGTTTTAAAAATTTTTTCCGAATGTAATTTCAATTTTCTTATCAAATATCTCGTTACATTATTGATGAATTGTTTACTTCGAGCAGATATCAGATAGCAGATGATCAATGGAAACGTCGTAAAGGCGTGACTGAGCCAGAACCTGGAAAGTCGGGTGATGAACGTCAAATAATTCGTGTGGCTCAACAACAAAAGCCTTCTTCGTCTTCGCAATCACAGCAATCCCAGCAGCAATCGTCTAAAACATCGCAACAGCAACAATCGTCGCAACCTACTTATCATACTGAGCCGGTATCGCCACCTGAACCAACCTCGAATCATTTCTCTCGACGGTTTTACGAAGCGAGCACTGCCACTACTACTACAAGTTCGTCTTCTACGCAAAGTAACAAATCTCACTTGTCCCCTCTTGACTATGTAAAAAACAAAATAGTCGAAGTAATGCGTACTGAGGACGACAAAACGAGTTCGGGTGAGCGAAATGGCTCCAGCTCAATTGACAAGGATGACAAGGCTGATAATTCTCCACGCGGTGATATGGTGATCGACGAATCCCCGAGTATTCAATCAACAAGTCACTCGCAACAAGCACCGCCACAAAATACACCGGCCAATTTCTACCCATATAATGCATTGGGTGTTCATACAGGACCTCCTCCTCCACCACCACAAGCAAATGCTGTTCAACAAACTGTTGTATCGAAGAGCGAAGAACCTGCCCCTTTGCTCTCCGCGCAGTATGAACCACTCTCTGATGAAGATTGAGATTCTTTTATTAACACGCGCAGCTTGTGAATGAAAGCTCAGTAGGCTTTTGAGATATTAATGAGATATTGCAACTGGTATTTGTAAGAACAACCATGCACCTTCAATTATTTTAGTTATTTTTGTTTTAAGAAATTTTACTTTTTAATGTAATCAGTATGTGGAATTATGGTCTCGTTCCGACGATGGTGGTACGAAAAATATTTTTTATTGTTTTTTTTTCTAATAGAGCAACAGTGTAAATATAGCTTGTAATAGTTATCTCGATAAAGAAAATTAAGATTTGATTACGTGCATCACGTTTTTACCTTTACCTGTGATATCCATCATTCATTATCCTAGAGAATTTTGTTGATTTCTCATTCGTTGAAAAAAATTCAGAGAATTTCGAAACGAAAGATTTTTTTAAAAATTGAAAATTTACTCGTGGAATAAACATACATCGACGTGAGCGCAGAGGTGCCAATCAAACCCGTATATACTATCATTTTTTGTATCATCGTGTTTTAACCAAATGTTACGTTGTACATACGTGTTGAATTTATCGCATTTTTTATTATTTTTTAATTTTATTTTTTTCTTACGACAAATTATAAATATTGTACGAAAGATTGTAAAATATTAAGTATTTAAGTGAAAAATTGTAGATTACAATATTTTTTTATTCTTTGCTAAATTTTAGAAAATATTCATTAAAATGCAATTGTTTTGCGCAAAATTTCTAATGTGTACGTAGTGGTCACTCATTCTTCAACAAATATTTCTCTGCGCCAGTTTAAAATATTTACATAAAAGGCGAAAAAAATTTTTTTTCAAAAAAGAGTGAATTACTGGGTACACTTTGTGGTCTTAATCAACAGCTTATAACGAAAATAATACGATGATGAAAACGTTGAAAAATGTTTTGTGCTAAAATGAAACAAAAAAATAATAGTTGAACGAACCAGCGTTCATTCCATCGTCGAATTTTTTTTTTTTAATGTAACTATAAATACTACATAGAAACCGAGTAGCGATGAAGTTTGTTTACCATTATCGAATGCTGAATAAACAATGACTTGAAAACTTGAAGGTAAACTTGTAAATGCAACTTTACATAACAATGCAGAGACGCTTTTGTAAATATGATTAAACTTTAGTATAATCGTTGAAAAAATGAATGAAACTACTAAAGAATGAGGTGTTAATGGTGTGTCTGTTTATAATTACGAATGATTCTGATAAATATAAATGTGTCTGCTATATAATTGAACGTTCATCGAAATATGTTATAATTAATGCGAACTCACAAGTATAAATGATGATCATGATTAGTCGTTTTAGATAGATTTATGGAATTAAATAAATGAGATGAAGAGTGAATGATATCGGAACAAGACTGAACTGTCTTTAAAGAAAAACGCAAGTGAAATGTCATAGTTGATACGCTGTTTATATTATATCATATAGTGATTGCGATTAAAGCAACATCGCAACTCTTTTACATTTTTTGTTAATTTCTAATTTCTCTCAGTATAAAGTGATTACGCGCATATAATTCACATACACTGAAGTGAAATAAAATGATTGAAAAAAGGTATAAAAATGTAAGCTTGTACATAGTACATACATTTAACTTAAAAGAGTTAAAATTTAAGTATATACATAAAAATATAATAATTATTGGTTAACATTACGTATTGAGGATAAGATTAAAAAGGATCGAAAAACAAGACTAGATCCAAATTATTATTGACATAATAATTATTTACACATAATTATTGTTGCACTGGTAGATCAATCTTTATGAAAGCGAGATAAAATAGATTTTGCAAATTTGATATATTTCACTTCGAGTAAGATTTCCTTACCAGTGCGCGGTCATTATTGATTATTGATTATTATCAATAAGTAACGTTAGGTAGTGCATAGAAGTTGGGCTGAAAAATGATGATGAAAGCCACGAACTGACTATGGGGTTAAGACAAAATATGTCCCCAATGACTAAGGTTCTCTTATATCTGAAAGAAGATGAAAATAAAAAGGAAATTAAAAAAAAAAAGATTTATTTTTATTGACCGATCCTGTTCCCCTGATGTAATGAATACGTGATGTTACATTCTTTTAAGCAATAGTATCAATTTTTTTTTCTCAATATATGTCTGAAAAAAGTAAATAATTAGTGCGTCTAATAAATGAATAAAAGTAATTGCTAGCATATCTATTTATTATAGGACAAGTTTCAGGAGCACATGGCTCGAGCCTGTATCATACGCTCTCGCGCTTCTTTGAATTGAGTGAGTACGTCGTCGACTTTATTGAGCAAGCGTCCAGCTTTGATTTTATTCTGATCTGGTCTGTGGCTGACAAATTGTCGACACTGTTGGACTATGTTAACGGTCAGGTCGACGCTACCGCTTGGCACGACCTTCAAATTGCTCTTGTCGAGACACGTCGAGTTGAGCTGCATCGATGGTACGGCACAGTAGGTGATGTCGTCGAGCTCGCAAGTGCCACCGGTGAAAAAACGTCTGAGCGAGTCAATGAAGCCAGCTTGCGGTCGCCAGGCAGGTAGCCTGAACGAAAAGTGTCCGGCGCTACGAGGCAGTACCATGGACGCGTAACCTTCGATTCTGTATCTGCGCGAAAGAGAAAGAGAGCACGATTAGCGTGACTCGGTCGAGCTGAGGAGCTTACGTAAGGAGCTTTGAATGCACGCGAAATGCGACAGAAAAATGTCGAGCGGCTCATTGTTAGCGATTGACGCGAGCGCAGGTTAATGCGCCGTTCCTCGATTACGTCAAAAGCGGCTCGATCGTCACACGAGATCGACTTTACCTGGTCCAAGCATCGAGCGAAGCAACGGAGATCAATAATCTTGGCCACGGGCACAACTGCCAATCGCTCAAGTAGTTCAAATCCAGTACGATCTCGCACGTATGGGAGAAGTTGACCCGTCTGCCTTGGACATCCGTCGAACGGCTAACACGAGATCGTTGGGTTCGCCCAGCTAGTTTCGACTTGGAGTACCACGAGTCGCTCGGCAAATCGATGAAGTAGCTCACGAATAAGCCGGTATCCTTGGCTTGTTGGAAGTCCTGAGCCGAACCGATGTCCAAATTCACGTGCATTCGAAGGACTCGAGCTTCGGCTGGCGATTCCAACACTCGATAAATTTCACTTTGATGTTGCTTCAACTTTCTTTGATTTTCCTACGATAATCATGATGCAATCGGTAAATCTCTCTTCTTGACAAATCGTGATTTTACAGAAACTTCTGTCCAATCGAACAAGCAAATCAAGTGCGCTTAAAAATAAGCTATGGAAGGACATAGACGTGTTAATGATCGAGTGGCTTTGGAATTAACGTTCACTTGATAATTTTACTTGTGTGCCATAGTAAAAAGTAACAATATCATAAAAATGTTTATTCAAGAAAAAAAAGAATTACATTCTATAAAACATCTCGATGCAAAAAAAGTAAAGTAATTTGTAGGCGCAGTTGAAGTCGGGATTTATTGCATGCTTCAGTCAGCTCGGAGTACTGGTTATTTCAATCGATTGAATGGAAAGCTTGCGTCGAAAATGCCTGAGGCACATATTTTTTTTCATAATTAAATATTTTTAGATTTCATTGCATAATTGAGAAATTTTAAAACTCTGCTAAATGTAAAATATCAATTTTCAAGAGTGATTACGAGACAAAAGTTACCGATTATCTACACAAAACATAAAAGTCGAGATAATGTCGTAATTTTCTCAGTACAATTGAGGTAAATAATGCAAGCGAAAAGAGAACTCGAGATAGAGCAGTTTTTTGTAAAGATGCTACAAGCAAATTCAATTACCCAATAAAAAAATCAGACTCAAAGTATAACTTATAACTTTAAATTAGTTTAAAATGATACTCAACGACTCGAGAAACAATTATTATTTCATCGAAATTTGTTTAACCGACAATTTATTCACGTATACATGAGTAAAAAGATAAAAAATGAAATAAAAAATACGAAAAAAATTTAAACAATTCACGCATTACGATTTGAAAAGAACGTCATTGGATTGTGTTATATTATGTCCCTCTCTCTGTGCCGTGGTCATTATCAGCCGTATGTCGCTCCTCTCTCTCTCTCTCTCTGTCTATTCATTTGACGCTGGAATCGCGCGCGCTGAAATATGTAATATAGCAGAGGAAATTGAAGATTTTGGCTCAGTGAGTTTTACGCATTGTGAGCGACTGGCCAACGCGAACGAGCCATAATTTTATCTGCGCGATAACGAGTACAGGTGACATTTCTGTAAATGCGTAAAAGGTGAAAAAGTGTCTGTGAACTGGAAGGAGGGATCGAGCCGAAGCTGGCCTAAAATTGGATAAAAAAAAATGGGTAAAAAAAGGGATGAGGCCTCCGCGAAGGAGCTGGACTCGACAGTGATCAACGTGCCGTTGTCGACGAAGTTAATGAGGCAACTGTCGGAGATATCTTACGTCGGGTGAGTACCTTTTTAAGGGTGTCGGAGCGGCGCTGAATGTCGCGCGTCGTAGGCTTGGAGGAGACGTGCTCGATCCAGTAGTCGTAGCTCATGCCCGTGGCCTGGCAGCTGTAGCACTCGAGGCTCGAAAAGTCCGGGCTGACGGTGAGGCACTTGCGGCCGGGGTCGTAGCTCAGGGCGCAGAGCAGAGTCTCGGAGTCGCTGTTGCCGCGGCTGCTGCTGCTGCTCTTGCTGGCGGCTTCCTCCTCGTCTCTCGGTGACAGGTCCGCCACGATGTACATGCTTTGGCGTTCCTGTGGCGATCAGCTTTATAGTCGATGACTCGATTCGATCGATCGGTAGAGGACAACGGACCTACCGCGTAAAAGTAGTGATTCTGGCGAATTCGCTGATGTTGGGGCGCCGGGTCGATCACCTGCTTGTTGTGCCTCTCGCCGAAGGGCTTGCGGTTGCTCAGTCGAGGCAAGGCTCGCTCGTTCCTCGAGGCCAGCGGCGATCTGAAGTCGTTGTCGGACAACGGAGCCGACTCCACGTAGTATGCGTCTCCCTCGACGTACGAGTAGAGTCGCGAGCAGACCTCCTCCTCGTCATTGCGCTCGGAGGTCAGCCGACGATGGTACCCCTTCTGGCGCTCGTTCAGGCAGTTGCGCTCGTCCCTGTAGAAGCGGGCCTCGTACGGGCCGAATCGCTTCTCCTGCCAAGCGAACGTGTGCACCTCTTCCTCGAGGAAATTTGCGTCGCGAGTCTCCTCGGCATTTTCAAACAGTTCCGATAGCAGCGATTTTTGTTGCACGATCCTCACTCTGTGTGCACAGTAAATCGACATTTTTATTTTTCTGACCGATTGTCTTTTAGAAGCGCAATTCCTGCATGTGTTTACACACAAAAAATGACATCTTCCCATAAATTTATCATGTTCATTCGCTCAGCTGCCAATTTCTGCGCATCCTCTCGAAACCATTGCCGAGTGAAAAAGTAAATAAATAAAAACATTGTCGCGTGAATGAGCTTTCGTTTGTCCGAGAGCAGCAGAAGCGTTCGGAGAGATTGTTATACATTTTTTGCGCGCATTAGTTCGACGAAAGACGAACTCAAGGCCTAGGATAATAAAGTGTAAACAATGCAAGGCAAGCTCCGCTCAGGCAATTCACATCTCACTGAGCTATCGATCGTGTCTTTATATTTTTATTATTTGTTCAACGATCGACTGCTATTGTAAAGAATATTTACCGACAACTCGGGTTGTTAAAACTATTCGTATATAACCATTGGTTTAAAAATAATGTTCAAAAGAAGACTGAGTAATTTACATGTCCTTACAACAGTCGACTGTGGTGTAATTAAGCTAGAGCCAAGTCAGCAGCTCACAAAGAAAATAAGTCGTTGCATAATATCCTTGTGCAGGATAGTAGATCGAGCGGTATTTACCTGATTTTAAGATTCTCGATCGGCTGATCGACCCGATACTTGCCCGATATCTTTGCTTTGCCTTGCAGCAGTGCTTCCGAGAGCATATCCTTCACTGCGATTGACTAAGTAACAAACGACGCGAGGCTGCTGCTTTTGCTACTTCTTTTCAACAATACAATAAACAGACTGGCGATTATGGAGCGCGTGACAGCTATTGTTTTACTCGTAGCAATGCAACTGGGCATCTTTTCTCCGACTGTCGACTGTCGATGTTTACGCGTACGATATCGTAGTTGCCAAGCAACGGCAGGTGCAGTAGCAGCCACATGCTCGCAGCCCGTCTGAGTGTAGTAGAGTCGAGACTCGTTGAGACTCGTAGAGACTCGAGAGGGGCAGAAAAAGGAGTGCATGCCTTAAGGAAGAGCGCACTCCTGCAGTGCATTACTCATTCAACTTTTTATTTTTCTCCTCTCTCTCTCTCTCTCTCTCTGGCTGCTTCCTTCGTGCAGCAGTATTAGTAGCGACGTGCCGCAATATGCAGTGAAGTAATCCAAGCCTAGCTGCAACGCTCGTATCCTCGGGTTAAAAACCATAAAATCGCGTCAGGCTGGCTCTGCTCTGCGGCTTTCACTAGCGCGGCGCGCTTCCTAAGGACAAGTCTGGGGGGTCACTGCACTTAACCTGTTGCATATTTGCGCCGTCCGTTTGGTCTCTCGAGTCCGCGAGGAACGATTGTCGACTCGAATTATAAATATCGCGATCGTCTCTCCATAGCTAGTTATACTTACTGCTGACTAAGTGTATCGATCGCGATAAATTCTCAGATATTTTGCACGCATTGGAGTCGCGATAGATTGCTCACCCGTTGACTCAAGGCTCGATTCTCGAGCCGGCAATAGGTGTGAGCGTATTTTATTATACGATATACGTCGGTGCCAACGACGCGATAATAAAGCTATGTGGACTTTTTTCGAGTAAAAGAGCGTAGGCACAGTACGCTTTGTGGCCACCTGTTTGCTTCGTACGCTCTTCGATACGTTCAATCAAACAAACCACTGATCCGTTAGCTTTGACGCTTGTCCGTGGCTCCGAAACTTTTCGGTAGCTAAAGTCACCTCAGACGGTGGGTAATATTTTTTCAATTCATTTCGCCTGTACCGTGTCATTATACATATAGACAATTGTTAGACGACTCATCTTTTTAAAAAGAGTGTCATATACGTAGCACTTGTGATTCATACTGTCTTATTCTTTGGCAACTTGTAAGATGTCACTTCAGTATTTTTTACTGCATTAGTTTTCATAGGAATACATTATACTATCTTTTAGTTTATATCACAGAATGTAGAATATTTTAGATAACTGTGTTTGAATAAAAAATATAAAAAGATCAAATAGTTTAAATGAACAGTTAAAAACATTTTTTTATAAATTTACAAAAAGAATTTTACTTTTACTGTTTTACTAACCATGTTATTGAATTGATAATTTCAGGAGTTTCAAACTTATCAAAATGGCATCAGCGCGTGAAGGGGAAACTACAGTAACTATACCACTGCAGTACAATGATGCTGTGAGTAAATAAGTTTTAAAAAGTTTTATGTTGTATGTTGAATAAGCTTGATATAAACAATTGTTTTTTTTTAGCATTGGAAGTGTATTTTTGAAAAGTATGATGTTGATGGAGATGGTAAAATTTCATTTCAAGAGCTCAAAACCATGATAAGAGGTTCATCTTATTCAAATGATATTCCTAATCGAGTAGTTCGAATGATTATGCAAAAAGCTGATTTGAATGATTCAGGATATTTAGAATATCCTGAATTCATAGCTATGGTACAAAAATCACTTTAATTGTTATTATATTAGTTATTTGGAAACTACCATGTACAACGCTTGAATTAATCTTTGTGTACAGATTCACAGGAAGGATATGCAGGGAGTCTTTGGAAGTTATGTTCAAAAGTATGTGCATTCAATGGTGCCATGTAGACCTTGCAGTATAACAGCAACACAGCGATCACAGCGAACATATCTCTCTCATGATCTAACAGATGGTCTTTATGAGGAAGAATATACATGCAATCCTCCTGCACTTGCAATGATAATAATTAGTCTGATTGAAATAGCAATATTTTTGTATGATGCTATAGTTCACAAAGCTGTACTTGTTGATGGACCAGCTGCTACTTTATTCATTTACAATCCATCCAAAAGATACCAAGCTTGGAGGTATTTTACCTATATGTTTGTTCATGTTGGGTAAGTAATATATTTTTCAGATTGTTTAAATTGTTACTCATAAATTAAAAAAAAAAATTTTTAGAGATAAGAACGTAAAGATGAATGATAATATCTGACTAAAAAATTGATTTTTTAGCCGATATGATAAAATTAAAATGCGATAAATCTGAATTCAAAATATAAAGATTATTACACATATAAAGATGAAATTTTCAAACATATTTGTTTTGACTTAAATATCAGTAGACTTACTGATTTATACATAGGATGTTTATTTTTAAACGTACTCATAATTAATGACTTTCCAGATCATTTCATTTGGCGGTAAACCTCTTGGTACAAATAATGCTGGGTATTCCTTTGGAAATGGTGCACAAATGGTGGCGAGTCCTTATCATATATTTTGCCGGTGTCGTTGCCGGTTCCCTTGGCACATCAGTATCCGATCCAAGCGTTTTTTTAGCTGGTGCTTCAGGTGGCGTTTATGCTCTTATCACGGCGCATGTAGCGACGATTCTTATGAATTGGAGTCAGATGGAATTTGCCGTGCTTCAATTAGTCGTTTTTGTAGCAGTTGGAACAGTCGACATTGGTCAAGCAGTTTACGCTCGCTTAACAGATGAGAAAAATCAAATTGGCTATGTAGCTCATCTTGCAGGTGCAGTTGCTGGATTATTAGTGGGAATTAATATATTGAGAAATTTAGAAGTACGAACTTGGGAGAAGGTTCTTTGGTGGGCAAGTTTCATCACCTATCTAGCTCTTATGACTGCTGCAATTATGTGGAATATATTTTATGATTCATACTTTCCTCAACAAATTTACAATTGAGTTGTGGCCTTAACGATAATTATAATTCGATACAGAATACGAAAAAGAGCTTCAAATTAAATTTAAGAAAAACGTTGAATTTTACTAAAATCGATTTTAAAATGTGAAGTATGCAAAAAAATATTTTCTAAATTATGAAAAAGTATCTGTATTCAATGTTATGAACTTGTCTTGGATTTTGTAAATATATTATAAAGAAAAACGCATTTCAAATCGTGATATTTCTGCAAACAACAATGAATGCCTAAGTACAAATTATAGATACAGGAATATATGATGAACATTAAACGAGTAATCCATCAAATATTTTCAACAATAAAATTGCATTTTTTTTTATAGTGAATACAATTGTGTGCGTATTTTTAAAGGCGCTAAGTATTATTTATAAAAAAACTTAGGTAATTATGCAAGCTTTTAAAAACCGAATGTATTCATTGAATTATTTGCTGTTTCGATTTTTAATAAATATACATATAATAAGTATGTAAAATACTTATGTAATTCTGGGTTTATTTGACGTAATAAATTAAGACTTAAAATTTAATTTATTTAGGAACAGTTCCAATTTTTATTATGCACAAACAAATGATCTACGTCGAAGTACGAAGTTCTCAGCCTTCGAGAACATTATTTTAGCTCTTAAGAAATAGTATTTATATTTTTTGTATATTTTGTATAATTATTTACAGTAAGCCAATAAAAAATGATAAACTTAAATTCTTTTTTTAATTTTATTAAATCCATTAATAATAGTAGTAGACATTTTCGAAACTGGTTTTTTCGTGTATTAGTGTATGATATAGTAGTAAAATCAAAAATAAATAGCTGCCTTAATTATCAATTGCATTTTACTTTATCTAGATTATATATAATATAAAAAAAAATACGTTCTCAATACGTAATATCTAACATTCATCACAGACAAATTATTTATAAATATTTCTTTAAAATTCATTATAAAAATATGTAAAAAGTTTATTCGTCATTTATATATTACTTATAGGTGTAACAATTAACCACCATTCAAATAGGAATGTATTAAAAAATCTTAAAATTTGGCATTCGTATTTATAACGCGATTACATTTAAAAATCTTTCTCTGACAAATATTTTCTTTTAAAAATTATACAAAATTTAAAGTGTAAATTACGTATCTGTAACTATTAAATATTACAGTTAATTCTTTACATTTCATTGAATAATTATACTAATAAGTACATAGTTAAAGTGATTAGAACTCATTTCTTAACAATTTTATATACATACATATAATTTTTGCAAATGTGAAATGAATTCTAAAATTATTTACAATATAAATCAACATTAAATTTTTCTGGAGCGGCATTAGTAAATATTTTACTGGAGTAACGTACATTCGCAACAATTATTACAATTTACTTAAAATGTTATCAGTCATTTAGAAGGTGAAAAAATTTCATCTACCTGCAATGAATGATGTATTGATTTATGATGAACACGATGCTTTGGATTGAATCATCTCTTTTTTGTATTGAACAATTTCTGACAACAAAAAGCTAATTCGAATCGTCAGGATTTTTTCCTTGCCATTCTCTATCTGGTCGTATGAATTCTAAATCACTTCCTTCGCTCGAGCTCAGATTATTTTCATCGTCATCATCGTCGTCAAAGTATGGTTTGTAAGCAACACTTCCATCGGATTCTTTGTATTCTAAATGATGTTTTATCGTATTAAGAAAAAATAATACTTAAAGTTTTAATAATATGCTCTAGAAATGAATTACCTTTGGAGGGTCTCTTGAATAGCTCAACCTCCTTCTCGTCATCGTCAAAAAATGAAGTGCCATCGCGCAGCAAACTGAACGCATACGGACGGCTATCGTTTTCATTTTCTAGTTGCCTAGACTTGCATTTGACTATAATGAATGTACACATGGACAATATTACAACGATGATGGCTCCTGTAACAAATATTTAGAAATATATTTTAAAAATGGGTTCAAAATGTTTACAGTATTGCGCGATTGTATCTATTTACCAGATAAAATGACAAATATGAGCCTCGGCATGCCCAAAATCGTGTCATCCTTTTCGAGATTAAGCATAATTTTGGCGTTAATCTTATTGCTGTTGGAGACATTAACTATTTTTTCCATTCCATAGTAGCCGCTGGCCTCGACCTTGATCAAATGTCCACCAGGCGGTAGCATGATGTAATAAGCGCCGTTCTCGTGGCTCATTATTTTGTGTTTTGATATATCGTGGCTAAGTACAGCGTTAGGAATCGGCGCGCCAGCGTTAGACACGACAAAGCCACTTATGTGAACCATAGCCGCGCCCAACATACTCATTAAACTCTTTCTATTATCTTCCCAAGCAGTTTCGTCGTTGTCGTCGCTGCAGCAGTTCACAAAGGCATCCAGTGGTAAGGCGTTACTCTTTAAATAGACGTAGTCCAAGAAAGAATCGGTATAACCGTTTTTTAAAGCAATGCCGGCGTGACTGAAACCCTTTTTCTCGATGTAGGGTGAGGAAATGCAACGAGGCCCAATCTCTGTCATGGTGGGATGATTAGCTGTGTAAGTTTCAGCCAAGTGTTGTAAAATTCGATCATCACCAGTGATGTAAGGCTGACTTTGATTCGACGATAATGCAGCACCATAGGGAATTTCTACGTGGAGTGATCCACTCTTGAGATTTACCACCATCAATGGTTTGATCGTTTTTATCCAGTCAGCAATGAGTTTTGAATGTTTATGATAGCTCAATTTGTAGTCTTCGAGTGGAAATGAGAGCTCGTTCTTCGATTTGTACTCGCAGTTATTGGTCTTATCGGAATCAGGATTCAAATCAGGGGCAATGATGACATTCAAAGACTTAATGAAATTGGTGACGTCCGAGTTCAAACCATGGTTAGATAAAAGATGCGTAGCAAATCTGGTCAAAATTCTGGAGGTAACGGGTGCACCTTTGCCTATTCCAGCAGTAAATAGCACTATAGGCTTTCCGAGCTCGTTATCTCCATCGGAAATTTCCAAAGCCAAGATTTTTTCGTTTTTTTCACTCAAGCCGATTTGTCGCAGTTTTGATATTTTTTGATGTTTACTGTTCAAGTTATCCAAAGCTTGATTTATTTCGCTCAACTTGATGATGCGTTGTTGTGGTATAACTTTAGCTCCGTGGTCTTTGCCTGGATTCAACTTGATAATTACAGAAGCTACAGAATCGTCTTTTACTTCAAGTTTATATCGCACATCTTGGTAGCCCTCACAAGTGATAAGAGCCTCGTACGTGCCAACAGGAAGTATTGTCTTAAAGAAGGCATTGTTTTTTGAAACTTTGTACGTGGCATTGTTAATTTGAACTTGAGCGTCTCTCAGTGGATGTCCGGTAGCGTCTTGGATTTGGGCGCGTACACCAGTCGATAATTTTTTAACCAAATTTTTCAAGTAAACAAGGTTTTCGCGCCAGATTGAAGGAACTTTTTCAGGCGTCGGCCATTTGCAGCAAGACATAGAATAACTCAATACTGGAATGTTGTATTCCTTTCCGATGAATCTCTCAACTTTGCGGAGTTCATCGTTATCACTAGAACAATGATCGCTGTGCGCCCATTTTTGGAATTCCTTTGTAAAATCAGCGAAAATGTCAAGTTTCGGCGTTGTGTAAGAGACACCCACTTTACGACCACCTCCGAACAAGACCAAAGCGTCGAATCCTTCTTCTTCAAGAATTTTGTCGAGTGCCTGCGGTACTACATCTAATTTGAGACCTTTCTTAATTGGAGTTTGAAAACGATGACCAACTTCATCTTTCACAACAGGATTGCACTCGTGATTGTCGGAGATCAATTCAAAGTTTGGATCTACTCCTGGAATAATGTGGAGGACAACTCGATCGAGGAGACGATTGGTAAAATCATCACTATCCTTGTTTGCCTTAAGAATGTGACGTGCTAAGCGCAACAGGATTTCACGGCCAATCGGTTGGGAAGCAAACATTCCGCCAATTAAACCAATATGGATTTTAGCCTCTTCGCTGTTGCCCATCTGTGATCGAATTCATTTGTTTTTAAGTAATTAATATAAAATGTGGATTAACGTTAAATAAAAACCGACAATAATTTTAAAGAATTGTGCAAAATTTATTAGAGTAATCTTAAATGTCATGAATAATTCGTACTTGATAGAGAGCATATTATTTTGATAAAATTATCTTATGATTCGATATGAACGTTTTGAAGGAAATAAAGATCTTACACCATGAGTTATTTTTAAGGAATGTATGGCTGAGCTGTAACGCGAGTCATCAGCTTTGAATTCAGCTACACTTGGATCGAATTCGAGTTGTTTGAAGCTCTCACTTAATTCGCTGTTGCTGAGATATCCGTTTTTCTGATTAGCTTCCAAGTCAAAATCATTCAAATGTATCCTGAAAAATGGAAAAGCGATAAATGAAAATTGAATTGTTAATTGGCTGGTTTGTTGATTTAATTTTTAACAGCAAATTACCAGTGAGGAACATCGTCTCTGAGGAGGGTAAAATCTAGCCGTGCTTCACCTGTGTCTTCAGGAACGATAACTGTTCTCGTTTGTCGTTCAAAATTTGGTGCAGTTACAGTAACATTGTAAGTTCCAGGTAGCAAAAGACGCCAATAATCGCCTAATTTACTGGCGTAAATGTCATGATCGTGACCCTCTACGATAACCTTGGCACCAGGCACAGTACCACCTATACTCGATTTGATCATACCATGAATTCCTTTGCGCGTCTGTAAGTGTCATAAAAGTTTTTGTCGGGTTCAATTAATAAGAGTCATAGTCCATGAAAAAAGCTTACCGCTTCGATGTACTTGAGCAAAGCTTCCCTGTTATCTCTCCAATAACTTTCTAAATCCGTTGCGTTCGGATACTTGATGCAACTGACTTCGAGAGTCAACTCGAAGGCGTTGCTGTGAACGTAATTGAAGTCTTGCATTCCTCCAGTAACGGGATACCACTTGGCACCGTTGGTTATACCACCTGGAAATCGTTCCTGCAACAGTCCGACCATTGTTTCTCCGGGTTTCAAGGGACACGGTTTTCCGAGATGCATTGTGGCGTGAGCGTCCGAGTACGTTTGGGCCAAGAAGCGAAAAACATCGTCGTCGGGACTGGGATTCGGGTAAGGCATTCTATTTCCTCGCGAAGCTGGATTATCGTCGTAAGGGTAATTGGCGACCAATGCGCCACCGTGTAAATTAGCCGACAGCACAAATGGTCTCGATGTTATCCAATCCATTACTGCTTTGGTTTCAGGTTCCTGAACGTGATTGTACTGTAAGCAACGACTTTCCATTAATATCGATAATATCAACAATAATCATATATATAAATCCAAAAACACGGAAAGCTTACTTGGTTTTCTACATATTGATCGGGGAAGTTTCTGTTTAGATCGACATCGTGGTCATTGTTACGTCCTTTGACTCCATCCCAATCTCCCGGAATAGAAACCTCGTAACCATCGGGATTCATGCTTGGCATAATATGAATCATAGTGGAATTCATGATCTTGGTGACGCGTTCATCCGTGCCATAATTTTCGCACAAGTAACGAGCCAAGAGTAGCAATAATTCGCGACTCACCACCTCATTTCCGTGCATATTACCTATGTACTTCATCTCGGGTTTGTCTGGATCGTGCTCGCCGCGATTTTTATCGCTCGGCGACGTCAGCTCGATGACCCACAACTCGCGCGCCTTCACTGACTTTCCAACGCTGTAGACTCGTGCAATATCCGGATAATTTGATTGCAAGTCGTGAAGAATACGAGTTAATTCCGTGTAATTGTGGTGAGTGAAATCTGGTTTTGTGTAGAAGCCGTTAGAGTCGCGGTCTTTCACCGCGCGCACGACTTTTTCCATTGTGTCTGAGGATTTTTTTATCGATAATTAGCTTTTTCAGCGTTATCAAATTTATTTTCGCTTATTTCGTGCCTACATTTTCATTCGCTAACGTACTTTTGTATTTTATCAATCATATTTCCGTTGAATGACCATTTATTAACGTTTGAGATAAAATAGGTAATGATTAAGTTAAAACAATATGTTTGTATGTGTGTATGTAACTACTTATTAATGAAGATAAACGTTTCGAAATGTTTTACAATTTTAGATGTGAATGACAGTTACGTGATAATAAATAAACACAAGGTATGGAGTAAAGAAATATAATGCATAAACCCAAAAAAAATCAATTAAAATAAGATTCACAAAGGAATTTCAGGAATTAAGGCTTGGACATTGCTCAATTGACAAAACATTTAGAATTGACATTAAATATATAGCCTCTTTATTTTATATACTGCACTATACATTTTACACAATTTGACGTTCACTGATTTATGTATCATACAAAGGAATCGTTTTATATTTTGACAAACCCATTTTTACTCTAACTTATACCATGATAGTGCAGAAAAAGATAGCTGATAATGGAGTATAATTTAAAATAAAATGAAATACTTATTAATTTGAAATATGAAGCTTTCAATGTTGATCAGTCTAAAATCTTTTGTTCGATATTTTCAACATGGAGTTATTAAGCGTATGATAAATAGTAAAATTATAAATCATTTACGTAAGAATTAATAGATTATTTTTATAAACTTTTTAAACAGTTCAAATAAATGAATAAGTAACTTGAGATTAAAATTTATAAATGCAACGTTTCTAAAAATATCCACTCTGAAAGTTTAATCAAAATATATTACAGAGTTTATCATTAATACATAGTCTCAAGCCAAGAAAATAGTTGTTCATTCTTTTATGTATTGAATAACTTAGATGATTATATAGTGACCAAAGTCGCTGTGTTGACTTTGTTAATCCAATTTAATCATTTTAGAATTTAGACACATTCACTTTGATTTTTCAACATTTATAAGTGAATAATTTTGTTTCACAGCTGATACAACGCTCAATACCTTGTGTTTATGCTTTTAATACTTAACTTTTGTTCACAATTGCCATGATAATGAATTTGTCTTGTTATATTATTTTATTAAATCACAAATAAGTCTTTGTTTTGTTTTAATTATTAAGTAAGCATAAAAATCATCAAAATAACACTAAAATAAGGCATTTTCACGATTATGTCTATATGAGTTACTATTTAAGAATAGTTTTAAATATTACTTTGTTCATGTAAGTAAATGACACGTTAATTTATCAAAATTATCGATTACGGTTAAATTATAATAAGGTGTGTTTCAGATCCAAACTTAAAAATAGTTAATAATTGGCAGAATAGAACATTAGAGTTAAAATACTTTTCCTCATGGGTTAGTGAATAATCACAATTATTCTTCATCGTTCAGCGACGAGACGAATCTCTGAGCTGGTGAAAAACGATTTAAGAATGGTGAAGCTTGATAGTAATAATTTTCAAAATTACCTTGTGGCTCTCTGTACGGAAGTGGTTCTAAGACAAAATTTACGATTTCGGCATTGCCATTTTTAACGGTGACTCGCTGAGGTTCACTTGAAGAATATCTATAAAGCATAGTGTATAATAAAGTATTTGTTTTATTTACCATCTGTTACATGGTATTTTCACAAACTTACCCCCAAGCTGTTGCATAGACGGTATATGTATCAGGTAAAAGTAGACGCCAATATTCTCCACGATTTGTACTTGTAATATTTTTATTTATTCCAATCACGACAATATTAGCATCTTCAATAGGTTGTCCATGCGTATCAGTAACAAGACCTAACAAAAATGAAACAGTCAGTAATCTATGATATTTTTTACCTTTTAACTGAATTATAAATCAACCTTTAATTCCAACATGAGCTTGTTCCAGGTATCTTAAAAGAGATTCTTTATTTGTTTGCCAATAACCAGGTAACTGTCGTGCGTGAGGGTACTTGCAGCAACTTAGCTCAAATGTGACTTCAAATGCATTAGATCTTGCATAATTGAAATCTTGCATGCCTCCTGTTACTTTATACCACTTTGCTCCATTAGTGACACCACCATAAAAGTTTTCAGATGGGCAGGCATTACCAGCTCTCATGTTTGGATTATTGTCAGCATAAACATGGGCAAGGTGTTTGAACATTCTATCATCGGGAGATTTACTTTCTTCACAGCATTCACCTTCAATTCTAAAGTAATACAATGAATAAAAATGAATACAAAGACTCTGGATAGCAAAAAAAAGGAGAATTCATGCATACCCCGAATCATATGGATAGCTAGCCACTAAAGCACCTCCATGAAAATTAGCAGAAAGTACAAATGGCTCAGTTACAATCCATGTCATCATTGCAATAGTCTCACTCTGTCTTCTTGCTATTAATTTTCCACCCTTGATGTGACTCATTCTGGGATCAAATTGATCCGGGAAATTCCGATTGAGATCAACGTGATTGGCATTTTCTCGGCCAACAAAATGATCGAGTGAATTGCAGAGACCTTCCTGCAAAAAAAATCATGTTCTATTTTAGATCAATAATTTATTTTTATCGTCACAATACGTAAAACCGCAGGGAAAAGAAATCAATAATCGCTTGAGCTGTCACTGCTGCTACGTTCGTTTCACGCGTAAGAATATGTACGAAGTAAAGTTTTTGTATGAATGACGTGATAGATGGACGAATTTACGCGTTTACAGAATTTCCCGAGAGTAGTATAGTTTTGTACACAATGGACGATAGAATCATTGCGGTAAAACAGTTAACTTTCACCTGCCCGAGGGCTCTAATAAATAAACTTTCTCTGAGGTAAACTTGTATAGATATTTGAACGAACCTTTGACTTCTCGAATCCGTCTGGATTGAGCGAGGGCATAATGAAAATATCCGTATTATTGACGAGCCTAGTCACCCTTGGGTCTTTTCCGTAGTTATAAAGAAGATACTTGGCGAGGAAAACCATGAGTTCTCGACCAACTGATTCATCACCATGCATATTGGCCACATACTTGACCATCGGCTCTCCGAGCTTCCTTTCGCGAACATTTTCACTGATCTCCAAGACGAGGAGGTCTCGGCCCTCGACGGATTTGCCGATGGAATGAAGTCGCGCGAGATTCGGATACTTGTCGGCCAAATTGCGAAAAACCTGGCGTAGCTCGTCGTAGTGGGTGTAGTGCGGAACCACGAAGCTCTCGTCGACCTGAGGTGGCGAGGACGAGCGCAACGAGTAGCCCTGGGCGCAGCCAGCCAGCAGCAGCAGGCCCGCTGCTGCGAGTATCAGCAAGGCGGCAACGTGTTGCTGCTGCTGCCGATTTGCTGCCATACTTTACTGATTTTCAGCCACAACGAAGCCGAAGAAAATCTAATGGAACATAAACAAATACTGCGCTCTTCGGTCGGTAGACGACGACGAGATATCCTACTAGTTGAGTTTCGGCAGCATCGTTGCGTGCTATTGCCTACACTACTGTCCAGTCGGTGAAAAATTTCTCTCGACGATATACGCTGAGAGCCGCTCGAGTTGGACGTGACGGGCTCTGGACTGTTGCGTGTGAAATGCGTCCGAGACACTGTTTCGTATGTGCAAATATCGTCCAGCTGGATGGTGCGCAGTGCGCACGGCGGCTGCCAAGTGTGAAAGAGCTTCGCCACTTCGTGCGCCGGAGATAGGTAAGAGCGAGATAGCGACTCTGATGACGTCTGTGCCTGCTAACGTATACGACTATATACAGTTACATACGCACCTTACATGTATTATTCAGATTCGCACAGATCCAGGCTAACCTTAAACATTCGCCCGCGTCCCGCAGTGAAATCGTTGTTATTTTTTTCTCTTATCACGGAGGATATGACGTTAAACACCCACGTACGGTCGTTACCATATGGCGAGGTATAAATGTATACTCTCTTTATCACAAGCCTATTCAAAATTCCAAACACCCTCAAGTTACCGACCACTAAGCTATTACTTGAATAAGTAATAATGAAAGTAAAATTATGATGCAATGAATATTTAAAAAAATTTTTAAACTTTAAATATTCAGAAAATCTCATAGCTACACTTTCAAATGATCAAATTCTTATTTATATGATCGCAAGTTCCGTATATATTTTAAGACATAAGTCCATTTATAAAGATTTCAGTCTTCGAAAAAAATATAAGCAAGTTTGAAGTTCATGTGGTTGATAGTTAAGTATAGGGCGGAAACCAGACGATTCCCATTTTTTACGCTCACAATCTTTTTCCCTTTGTTCAAGAGTGAGTACTGGATTCGAAAGGTTACTTTTTCTGATATCAGGGTATTTTTTGAGGTCAGATTCAGCATTTGCGGAATAAACCTATGGACAAGCTTTTCGGATTTTCCTGAGTTTTTGGCGTGTTTCAGGAAAGAGATTGAAAGCCACGATTACAGATTTTTAAAAAATATTAACATACTCTCAAAATCCATGGGAATCCATGGACGTTTAATCCCCATTAGTGTCGATTCTAAGCGAAATTTTCACCTAATGATATGAAAAAATTGATGGAGATATATGTACAGTCGAGCCCCGGGGGAGAGCCGGTTAAAAAAATGCGAATAACTAAGCATTGTTCTTATGGGAAAAGGGAGTTCGGTTCCCCGTCCGACTGACATGTCAATGTAAGAACAAGTAAAACCACATTTTTTTAGCAAAAATCAAAGTTATAATAAATATTTGTTTTTATTTGAGAAAAATACTCAGTCAAACTTTTTTGCTTTGGTCTGCGCATCAAATATTTATACAAATGTTGATAACACTGTAATAATTTCTTAATTTTCAATTGCAGCATTTGAAAGCTGTGAGACATGAGTGGATCTTGTTCTGCATCGGCCAAAATTTTTCCAATAATTTTGTGATCGCGAGTGTAAATTTTGATTCTTGATCGTCATTCTCGATTTCATCGATGCTATTGACCCGCATGCTTCCCCAAATATTTAGCACTCTCACGAATTTTTCTTCCGTTATCACGGAAATTAATCTGATCGTAGACTCGTTAACGTTAAATCTTGCGAGAGTATAGAAACTCTTTCCCCAGCTGCCAATGATCAAGAAATTCCATTTTTTGGCCAAATTCAGAACTTTTTAGAGTTCTTCGTTTCAAAACGTTTTTTGCGTTGGTGGAGTTATATTTTAAAAAAATGTTTAATTGGGTCACAAATGAGCATACCACGAATAACGAATCCACGAATTCAGGGGTACAACTGTACACTTCAAAAATGCAAACAACTTTGAATTTTTTGGACCACAAAACATAGAAATTATCGAAATTTTAAATAATTCATTTTTCGGGTAAGTGGTTCGATAATGTGCAGACCTCAATACTTTTTACTTATTTCTAATATTTAGAGATAAGTTCTTGAATTTTTTCAAATTTTTGTGAGTGTAACAAAACTGATTTTTTTAGAAATCAAAGATTCGATTTTTAAGTTGTGTTCTCAATTTTTCCGATTTTTTGTAAATGTTGTAAGTGTTTTAAAGTGAAAAACCTATTTTTTCAACGGAAATCGTATTTTTGAGGCGCAATAATATCTATGAAAACTCTAAAGTATTCTCACTTTGGGTAAGAAATACACAATGAATAGAACCTTTTAAGGAATATCTAAAAAAAAACTGTTTTTCTCTTAAAACTTCCCTTTCAATTTATATCATCCGCTTTTTCTGAAATAATTGATTTCTCTAGAGAAATAATTTCATAAATAATTTATTGTTTTTTTTACAATTTACTAAGATCGACTGAAATATTTAAAAATATTTACCAGAAAAACTTCAAAAAATTACTGAATTGGAAATGGTTTTATTGTGTTCCGGAAATGTGTACATAGCCACAAATTCCGAAAAAATATATTTCTAAATAAGTTTATTGACTTTTTTTTTTAATTCGTTTACTGGCCTTTTTCAGTGTACATAACAGCCTTGACTTTTGGTTTTTCGCCAATTGACAACGACATCTCTCTGTAACAAGATGAAGCTTAACTACAACATATTTCACAGTCGCAGCATTCGTAGAATTTATCACGCAGTATTGAGATAATTTGCAAGTCGCAGCAGCATCCAATAGACGTGAGTGACATCGATTTTTGACGATAAATATTATGCAAAGAATAATTTATATTCGAAATAAATAACTCGTACGTATAATTATATCTGAGCTTTGTCTGTCTTATTTCATTTAAGATATCATCTACAATTTTTATTGTAAAATTTGACTAACATAACTATTAATTTATTGAAGTAAAAAAAGAAACTTTTGCTTTTATCTGTATTTTTATATACTTGCTAACTCTATTGAAATTTTAAAATTCCTAAAAAAAGTTTATATTTGTTGGTTACAACTTAAAAGCTTTATCATTTTGAGAATGAGAATATGATAGATGATGTCATAATTTCAATTATGTGATAATGTTTCATTACAGATTTGAGAATTAACAAATAATTATAAACCATGAATTATTCAGAGGATGATGTAGCTCATATTGAGAGGTCTGTTGCCCACATTCTACTATTTTCAATAAATTACAATAAATACAAATAATTTAACTTTTTTTTATAGAATATTAGAAACAAAAAATTTCTATGAAATTTTGCAAGTATCTACGAATGCAACAGATGAAGAAATCAAAGCTTCCCATAAAAATCTAGCTCTGCAGGTTCATCCTGATAAAAATAATGCACCTGGAGCTAAGGATGCATTTATTGGTGAGTTATATTATTAGTTGAAATGAAATATTTTTATCTATCTCTGTACTTAATGATTAACTTTTTTGATACAGCTGTTCGCAAAGCAACAGCAGTTTTATTAGACAAAGAGAGAAGGAAGGAATACAATGAATATTTAAAGTCGCCATATGGATTTTGTGAGGATAAATTTGATTTATCAGGTAAAATAATTGAGAAAAAAATTAAAGTACATTTGTTGAATGTGTTTAATTATTATCTGTTTTTTATTGTAGAAGAAGCAGTGGATGCTATTTTAATAACAGCAGGTATTGTTAGTGCTATTGGCATTGCTGCTGGTGTTATTGCTACAGGAGTAGCTGTATATAAATGGCTAACTGGTGGTTCAAAAAGAGAGGATGAAGAGCCTAGGTATGCCAGGTAGAACTCCAAATTTTATCTTTATTTTACTAAATAATAAAATTCAAACTTTGTACATCTTAGTGTTAAAAGTACTAAAAACAAAAAAATAATTACTTGGAAATTGGACTTTAATTCCATTATCGAATTATAAAAATTTAAGTAGCGCTTGTATATTTGAATAAAGTTACGAAATAATTTTAAAATAATTTTTATGTTAACACTTATTCTAGAATACAGTTAATTGAATTGTATAAAAATTTGAAAGATGTTAAATTTTAAGCTTCAATATAAACTATTTATGTTAATGGAAAACATTTTAATTTCATAGTAATTCCTACTAATGATAAATATTGGAAGGAAACTGCACAAGATAAGAGTTGTAGCAGTAATCTTGAAACTGTAATATTCCAATTAGTTTGCCACTTGTTACCTCATGGTGACATTTGTAACTTCATTATTATAACATTGATGAAAAGAAAATTGTTCAAAAATTATTTGTTATAAATAATGCCTGTTATTTACAATTAAGTGCTATAATGTGCAATTAGATGAATTTTTTGTTATTTAAAACATAATTCATGAATCATTGTTTACAAATTGAAAAAAGAATAGGTGATTTAGATTCATGTGTAAACTTTTACTCAATGATTGTATATATTAGCAGTCTAGTTTGTTAATGTGAAGGAATATGTGTTATGGTTGATTTTAATGGATGAAGGTTAGTGATCAAAACAAAATGTGTTATTTCTTTAAATGTTGAAAAATATAAAACTTATAACTTTATTATAAAATCTTGTTTTGATTATGTTTTATCTATTTCAATCTTTAATCAATTTTATTCATTACATGTTAAGATGAAAAATATGTAATAATTTATTCTAACATAAAATGAAACAGTTTCATGATAAAAAAGTATTATTTTTGAGCCCTAATGTTATTAGTTTTCGTAAATTTTTATTTTTAAATTTATTGCAATGTAAATCCATAGACGATATTTGAAATATTAAAAATAGTTTTATTTTTCACGTATTTCATATTAAGCTGCATTGATTTTGCATTGGGTTTTACTTGTTTCTTCTCTGATCATAGCGGCTATCTTTGAAAGACCCTAGAAAAATAAATGAAAAAGAAAATGAAAAAAAAAAAAAAAAAATGAAAAATAATAAATCCAATCTTATAATAGTGAGAATTATTGTTTACTTTTTCCATGTCCTCTTCACTAGCTTGACTGTAGCACAGTCTGATGTAAGAGCAAGGCGCAGTTCCGTCGGCGTAGAAAGCGTGACCTGGTAATACAAGCACACCTTGCTTGGCACATTTTTCAATCACCAGATCGTAAATGTCGTCCATTCCTTTGATCTTCATCCAAACGAACATGCCTCCTTTTGGCTCAGACCACTCGGCGATTCCGGTAAAGTGCTTTTTAATGACTTTCAACATGCAGTCACGCTTTTCGCGATAGAATTTCTGAATATTCTTGAAATGAGCGTTAAGTTCGTCTTCGCTCCAGTTAGCTAATACTTCGCAGACTAGAACCTGGATCAACGATTAATAAGCGTTGAAAATCTGCTCGATGCTTTTGCTCGAACTATTGCATTGCAAGTTGGGATAATTTTTACCTGAGACAAAGAAGCAGGATGCAAGGTAGTACTAGCTTTGTGTAGGTTCAGCTTGTCCATAAAGGCTTTGGGGCCAGTCACGACGCCCAACCTCAAGCCAGCGCTCATGAATTTGCTGAAGGAGTCGAGACGAACCACGCGTCCTTGGACGTCCATCGAGAAGAACGACTTTGGCTGCTCTTCGAGGAAGTGCAAAAAGAAATAGGCGTCGTCTTCGATGATGATAAAGTCGTATCGACAAGCGAGTTCGTAAATTTTACGTTTCCGTTCGGTCGAGTAGACCGTACCAACTGGATTGGCCCCGGTCGGATTTACGTACAGTAGCTGCTCAAGACACAAATAACGTTACATCGAATTCATGAACGATCCGTCAATTTTTTACTCTACCTTGGGCAGCGGCTTCTTGTTTTTAATCTTCTCTTCGCAAACCCGCTCGATTTCTTCGGCTAAGATTCCCTCCTCGTCCATTTCCAAAGGAATAAAGTCAGGTTGCATCGGTAGAATCTGTACAAACAATTGCTTCATCGATAAAATTACTCATTTTTGATTATGTCTACATAACATACGGAATTGAGGACGCCGGTGTAAGTTGGAGACTGGACCATAGCTGACTCGCCCGGCTCGATCAACATGGAGAACATCTTGCTACAACCTTCCATCGATCCAGCAACGATATGTATATCCCAGTCATTGTATTTAGGAGAGTGGTATTTTTTTTGGAACTCCGTCATCGTTTTCAATAGGGGTATGTGCCTGATTGCAACAAAAAGCCCTCAACGCCTTATGATGATTCGATATATTTTAAAGATAAATCTATTCGATTATAAATTCATTATTTTTATTTACCCTTGGGTCGGTCCATACTGCAGAGCACTAGTTAAATCCTTATCAACGAGAGTTTTTTTCATTCCATTGCTATACGTGATGGTGATTTCTTTGAAAGGGAAGAGTGACGCATTGGGCAAACCACCAGCAAAGAACAATGATTCGGGATTTCGCATATAAATTTCCGCTGCAAAAGTTTGAATAATTTCAATTTTTTTCTATCGACAACTCTCATGTCTATTTTGTTAATTTTCTCTTTACTTGCTCGAGCTTTTGTTAAAAAATATAAATTCAATTTAATAAAAATGAGTTTAGTCAATTTTAATGTTTTCCCATACTGCAATGCGCAAACATTTACTTACTCAATATTCTAATCAAATCTGGTTTTCGTCTATGAGAAATATTTGTTATCATTTTATCAAAATTAACAGTTATTTGATTTTCCGGCATTTTATTCAATAAGACATATGCAAAGTCGACTAAAGAAACGAAATAACACCAGTTCTAACCGAACCAATCGTTAGACCCCTTTCTACTTACTTTTCGCGAAATAATCGAAAAAGTTGAAAACGAGGGTCTGTATCATCTGCAAAAAGTTTATTGTGTGAGTTAAATAATCTAATCGCTTTCCAAACAATTGCGGAATAATTCGATGCGTTACCAAGCCTGCTTGCTCGATGCATTTTTTGTTGTGAATAATTATCTCTCAATATTACGATTTTATAATAAATGTAGAATACGCAATTCTTTAGCTGATTGAGGGAATTTCCTTTCGTACGTGCTTTAAATTCTTTTCGAGAGTATAATATTTTTTAAATTTAATAATGCAACGAAAACGTGTTATTGAACTTAAGAAATGAAACTGCTCCAAACCAGATTCAAATGGAAAATATGCATTATGCATTTGCTATCTGCATTTACACTTGGGTAAGATAAATTCAGTTAATGGGAAGTAAAACTTAGATATAGTGAAGTAGGGTCCGCCTGTGTGTATAACGTATTCAGTAATAATAACAATAGCAGACGGGATATAATTAAATTCAATAATCATTATCATATTATATTCAGAATGAAATTTTAAATTGTGAACCTAATTAATTCATATAATTTTACTTCCGCATTGACAGTTAGAAATGCTTATAACAAGTTTGGTTGTAACAAAAAGTCGTTTATAACGAGCAAATGATATCATTTGGTTGGTAATGTTAAAAGCAACATTTTTTATTCTTTTGAGAGCGGCTTAAACGTTTCAGGTTAATGTTTGAAAAAAAAATTCAATTCAAAATTTACTGTAAACCTGGAATTTTTTTATGTACTAAGTTGGCACAAATTTAATATACATCATATTTTGCAGATATCATCTGGATGATCTTATCTCTTTTATATGTAGAATGTATACGTAAATAAAACATCTCCTTTTTACTTACTTAAGGTTCTAATTAAATTTGGTTGCCTCAGTTTGGCAGCCTCGGTAAAATATTTTCCATAGTCCATGATACGCTTCTTCACAGACATTTAACTGTTCGTAATACTTCACAGGTTTTGTGAGTAAAAAAAACTTGTGTCTGATCGTTGACAATCACGGATACACAAGATGAAGCGTACACATATATCTACTATTTTATGTTATGTCACAGAGGGTTTATCACGAAAGACCGTTTTAAAAATACTGTTATCGCAGACTTTGCAGCCGCAGAATATTTACAAGTTATCAAGTGCAAATTATATCAATTTCTACTCTATGACGATAACCGGATATTTTTTACATAATTGTAAATTTGTATTTTATTACATTTATTCAATTGCGATTTGTAAAAAATTGACTTTCCAAAAAAAGCTAGTTTTTAGGAGTATAATTAGAGTTCACTGCCGTATTAATAATTTAATACAATGATACATTTTTGATGCAAATACATAATTAATATTATTTTGAAAAAAGATAAATCACAACGTGGTATTCGAAAATTTAAGATTTCCATGTATATTTTCATAAATACCTAAGTTGTATTATTTGTATCTGAAAATGGGCAAACAGAATACCTTATTTTACGAATATCTAATATTATTTATCTAATTATCTTTTAAGAAATAATCTACAATAATGATAAGTAACTGTTGAAACGTACTCTAAGTAACCTCTCCCTCCTCACTGGAGAGGAGCTTTTTGAACTCATTCTTTTGCCGAATAATTTTTGTACATTGAAGGAGTAGGGGCTCTGTAGAAGAGGAAGGAAGGCAAAGAAAGAAAGAGAAAGCGAACCAAAGAGGGGGAGACAAAAGAGCATCATCTTGCATCATCAGATAATTGATTTATATTTATTAATTAATTTTATGAAACGAAACTTTCATGCTAATTTTTAGCTCTTGAATTATTTAAAATTGTATTTATCTGATGCTAATATACTTTATTAGAAATATATTTTTTTGCGAAATTTCTAAAATTTTTTCGCAAATGCATCATAGATACACCGTATACTTTGAACTGTGAATAATTGGGTAAAAGTTACGCTTACATTACATTGAAAATTAACATTTTTATTATTAAATTAAATTAAATTAAATTAAAATTTTAATCGTTAGATTAAAAATGTATTTCCCAATTTGGAATAATGCTACTTTTATTGACTGAATAATGAGACATGATACTCTCACCGAGTCGGTATTGCAGTGCACTCAAGTACCGAGTCATTTTAAACATTCGTATTGTTTGTAAAAAATAGTAAATTCTGTATCAGAGTGAAAACTAGATATTATCAAAGCAGGTGAAATTTGCATTGGCTGATAAATTACACGTGCTCTGAGACTTTCCAGTTTTTCATTCGCTAGGTGCAAAATATATTCGCTACATAAGATATTCCTTTAAATTATTATCAACGAAAATGAATTCCAAAAATCGATTTAACCGAAAGTATATTCAAATTTTCGAGCACGTTTTACGCTAGAATCTGAGTCCTGCTGAGTTCGTTTCGTCATTAGCTCCAAGTGCGATTTACGAACAGTCTCGAGTGCAAAATGCCCTGGCAAATGCAGCAAATGCTCATCAACAAAATTTAAGCTAAATTCGAGTGCAAAAGTTTTTCACCGAAGTAATCTATTGTGGACTTATTGAATCAGATATTCAAATTGTAAAAATCTGAAAGTTTAAAAGTAATAGAGCGAAGACAATGGATAATGCATTTTGGTATGAATACACGTACATACATAGATGATTGATAATTTTGGTTTAGTTTCTAAAAGTATGAATGAAAGTTAATTTGAGTCTCTGGTTAAAAAAGCCGTCAAAGTGATCTCTGAGAGGAAGCAATTACAAAAATTGTCATTCTACTCTTCTCAATTCTGACATGCATAATTAAAATATTCCCACTTAGTTCAGAAGAAATTGAGATAGTAAATGATTGCGATAAAGGAAAGCTTATAAAAACCATGAAATAATCAACATTCTTTCAAGTGCTGTCTCGTTTGTGGTTGGACATAATACGTTGCCATGAAGTTAATTGTGTAAGCTTGATTTTTATAAGCTTAAAAAATATTACTATCCACCCTTTTTTAATTTATAGAGCTATTCTAGCCGTGGCTTTATTGTCAGTAGATCTATCGTCGGCCAGAATTATTCGATTTCTTGGAAGTGATATCAGTTTAAAGGATAAATTTCAACTATGGACGAACTATATAACGTCTGCTGATTCTCAGCATGAAATAGGAGATCGTTTTAAACGAATGAATGAAGTAGAACAGGACAGATATGAGACAAAAAAAATGTTCGACTATTTAAGAAAGCAGTATTACAATTCCGTATAAAAAAAGAATAATTTGTACTACTCTATTTTTTAATTGTACTAAAATACTTTACAACTTTTGGGATGATTTTGAAACAATAAGTTTTCAAATATCATCCAATACTTGTTTCCATTTTTTAAGTACTATGATAAGAATTTAAATATTTTTAAAAATTGAAAAAGGTTAAAATAGAATAAAAATTGTCTTGGTTTAAACATACTTGTGACATTTATTCCAAAGCATCAACATGTCTTATAAGTAGTTATGTCACATTACATTACATTATATTATAGTATTACTTGAAAATTCCTTATGTTGCAAATTCTTTCTTGCACAGTTTTCATGCTTGTTTAAACCTTCAATTTCTTCGTCCAACTTTTCAGAAAATTTCTCTTTATCATAATTTTACGTCCAGAGTATTTACGTGTTTTTTATATTTTTTTTTTTGCAACGTATACAATAATAATAATATCGCTCGCAATATATGAAACATTACATTCGTCGTAACAATGAACATGACGTTCAAATTTTTTTACTTATTATTAATAACAATGAATAGTTTTGTGCTCACTTTATTTAAACTCATTATCAAACATAATCTCTTGATTACCACCATCAGAAAAGATTAAGGTCTTAAATTGAGAGTTATACTTGAATTTTTTGAAATAATAAAATACAATTAAATAATTTATAAATATTCCACGAGAATTAGAATATTTTACGACGCTCGTTGAAAAACTACCATCTTTCGTACGGTAAGACTTTCAGGCCATCTATATCAATTTATAGACTTCATTTATACACATTTTATAATATAATCATATATTATATTTTTATTTCTATTAATTTTACCTATAAAGACACCTGCACATCACACGTAAAATAATTAATATACGATTCTGGTATTTTTATAACAGGTTTTGTCTTTTATAATTGCTATTTTTCCAGCTTTTTTTATTATTCTCGCAGTAAATTATTTTATTGCATATTTACAAAATTCTATGTATATCAATCATGTTTATGTATACATGTATATTAATTACCCGAAGATTACGCTTTATCTAAATTTAAATCGCTTCACAGTCTAATTACAAGTCTCCCTTCTTTTTAAAATTCTGTTACCGTATCCGTTTGTTTTGATTCAATTCATTACATTTCTCAAATATTTTTTGTATCTTGTCAAAAAAATATTTAATTGTAACAAAGCTTTGTTTTTTTTTCAAATAGATTTAACGATTACCCCCGCGGCTGATTGTGTCAATATTGATATATTAATAAATTATATCTGAAAACAAGAATTGAAACGTATAATGTGTTATTGCTTCAAAAAAATTATTTAATTTATGCCTGTGGCATTAACGTGAAAATGTATAATATCGAATGATGAGAGGAAGTTTTCAGGAGTAGTAGTGCAATTAGTGCAATTTGGTAGACCCAGTGACGAGTAAAGGCACAGGTGATGCTCAAATCGGTCGTCCTTTATCAAGGTTTTGAGTATGTAATTTTCATAGCTTTACTGAATCTAGATAGGTTTTTGAAGTATAGAATAAAGATTTAGATAAAGAAGAAAACTATAAAGACATTCGACATCGAAATAGTACGATAGGTATTTATGGGAGAGATGCCGAAGACAAGCCAAATATCCTCATTTTCAGATCCTTTTTTAGTATCATACTAAATATTTTTCTAAACAAGTCTACAGGGACCTTAATTCAACAATTTAACGGGTTTTGAAATTTTCATATCTGCTTAGGCTTCGGTATCTCCTCATTCTTAAGCGTCTACAAATATCTTCTGAACAATCTCTAGAGTTTCAAAATTTTTTTTATATGCTCTAAGATCTTTGAAAAGTAGAAAAATTATAAAAGTACGAAGGTCTGTATAGATATTAAAATACCTGTGGTATGGGTCTATGCTTTACTTTTAATAATTTGTGCTTTCTTCGAATGAGGAAATTATGACCATGCTATAGAAAAGCACCATATCCAGAGCCATAAGGATTTATGATGAATAATTTCAAGCTCGTTTTAAAAATGATTTTGTTTGCATTCAAAGCGTAGGTGAGTTTTTTTGATAAAATTATTATTACATGATTATTTTTTTCAAATAATTTTAACAGAACGTAATTAGTTTGATTCAAAACAATATACTAATTGAAATGGTAAGGAGTAATTGTATTGAAAATATTTAATGAAAAATTTCCAATAATAAAAATGTGATATCATTACTTTGAAAATGAAAAAAAATTAACCCTCAGAGAAAGGCACCGGGGGAAAGTTTACAAACTTCTTATTTTTTTTGTTTTTAAGTTTTCTATTCTAATGTTCTGTGCATGTATATGATCGTGATCGTGATACTGTGATCTGAAAAATCATGATTAGATACATTTTAATCATACCCTCGATTATACCAACATATACTGGAAATTTTACAGTTTGAAAAGTTTTTGTTTTTATATTTACTATATACATGTATTTGATTCGATCAAACTAATTTTGGCAATTCGGCAACACTTGAAACTCTTGCGTAAACTGAAATCGACCGTTTTTTAAGAATGAGTTAATAAGAAGATCTTATAAAAACTGGATCACAAGTGTGCTGTTAATTTTTTTTTTTTTTTGATACGAAAAAAAAGAACTTTTTGTGATCCATTGGGGCCTTAAAAACCATTTTAAAGATTATTCTAATGCGTTTATTCCAACTAAATAAGCAATTTTCCTTTGATCATTAGTTTACTTTTGGACTTTTCACAGGGTTTTTCACTTTTTCTATGTGAGTCAAATGACGCGAATTTTTACTATTTTACATAATTTCAATAAATATGTACAAAATAAACTACAAGCGATTGGAAAATCGATTTCATAGGCCTCAACAACTTGAGTTTACCCAATATTATATCAATTTCAATATTAATGTAAATTATGAATGTTTATCACAATTTTACAAAAACTAATAAGAATTCATAAATAATATAATGACCAACTACTTTGATTACACAATTATTTCTGAATATGAGCACAGTTGATTATTTGATCAATTTTATGGATTAAAAATCTGAGCCGAATAGATGAAAAAATATATTTATTTTAAGTAGTACCCAAATTATTTTTTGGATTAGATCTATGAACCATGTTCTATCTGGGCTGGTAATTTAATAAATCAATATGGAACAAACAAAAATTATTTGGAATAAATATTAAAACGGTCGATATTATTTAGTTTTATAGCTATACTTTTTTTAACTTTAGCTCGTAATTTTTTTACAATAATTATTATAAACTTCAGGTTGTCACTTATTTCCTCTAAATTGCATAGATCTTTGCTCCCAAGCTCTTAAATGTTTTTTTGAACCTAAAACTGGAAAAAGCATAGTTACAACTTTTTATAAGATCATTTAATCATCCCTGTAATTCTGAAATATGTACAATTATGACATTTTTAATATTTGCGATTTTTTTTCTCGTAACGATACGACATTCGGCAAAGAATACAAGAAATAAAAAAGTTTTGATTTTAATTAAAAAATACCTGTATATGATTATTTCAGAATTTTTTAAGGACTTTTAAAAAAATGAGAATGCTCTCTTGGAATACAGGAGTAGTGTAATATAAAAGGTCGAAAATACGGATTTTTTTCATTTTCAGACTTAGACAAAATTTTAAAAGCTTGGAAGCAAGGTTTTATGCAATTGAAGGCTGAGTTACACCCTTATAAACATATTATGTAAACTTTATGAGCATTTCAAAATTTTTTTGGGTTTCTCATATTGCAGTTTGAAATCATTAATATTAACATCAATATATTTACACCCACTCTTGTATTTTTAATTTTATTATTATTCTTTCAAACTAATGCAACAACTTAATTTTTTGATCATAAAAACAATTACTTTTATAATGTTGAAACGTCTTGAACGAAAACAACTATGTATGTAACATATATAGGGAAGAACATAAAGATTATATGCATTTAAGCTTAAAAATATAAAAAGTTGTCAATGGAAGATGCTATAATTTTAAGAGAGGCAGGAAGAGTCTCATGTGCAATGAACATATTCAAATTGTTTTTTAAACATTTTAATTCAAGTTTTTTTTCGAAAAGCTGAGTGGTGTTCTTTAGATTGACGAAACGAAGATACTCTGGTCTGTGAAAGCTCTTTGAATCTCAGAAAATTTTATTTGAAAATGCACATTTTTACCTTAACTTCAGTATTTCTTTTTGGAGGTTTTATTGTTCTTTAGGCTTGAATAATTTCCACCTTTCAATGCACTATTTAATTCAATGAAGTTTCAACTATATCAAAACATAAAATTGTTTTTATGAATTGTTCATGTACGCATTTAATTATTTGAAATCGAAAAATGTGTGTAAAAGTTCAGGTAAACTGTGTTTATGACAGTAAAAAAGAGTTTTCTTAACATTTGAGCTATCTCTGAGCCTTTGAAATACCTATATGGTCTGGTGCGTTGAGTGAGTCAATATTGTATTTCATTTCGAGTGTTACATAGTTTTCTTGGCATACTATTTTTTACTAAAAATGTATAATTATTATTTTTCATTTAATAACTTTTGTATAAAAGAAAATATAGGAGTTCCTCAATCAATTTTATTAAAAGTTTTCAAGCGAAAAATTTGATAAAAAAAGTTTGTATTTACGTGTATTACTCACTCAGAGCAAAAGATCTTTAAGGATCATTGTTATTACACAGAATTATATCACGTCAAGGATACGAAATGCTCAATTAATCAACTCAATATCCTAAAAATAAGTTAAAATTATTCTTTAACCTTTTATCGGGTCGATTGATTATTACAACAATTCGTTGCACAAAACTGTTTCATTATTTATTTTCGATCATGTTATTTCCCTTGTGCTCTTACAATCAATGTATTTTTTCATCAAACATAAATTGTATAGAATGAAAAAAATTAATTTTATTTTTCTTGGCACCAAAATGACAAATATTTTTTAGTAATAATGTTAAATTCCTTAAAATTATTGTTACTTATAAATAAATTTCAATCGTCAAAAAATTTTAATGTTTAAGATAAATTTTCTTAATTGTTTAAAAACTTAATCATCTATATCATCTATATATATTATATTATTTTGAATACATGTATTTTCCACATTTACTTGGATCATGAAGAAGTTTGTATAAAAATAATTCCTTTTGTTTACTCCGGAATATTAATAATCCTTCATTGCGCATATTTTGTCAGTCTGGCACCGTCACCATAAGTTCCCTCGTGAAACGAAATTATAATTATTTTAAGTATCAAATCCCTATAATACATAATAATAAATGTAACTCGTGGACAAATAAGTATTGAATTTTTCGAAGAGCTTTTCGAAAAAATGTATGTTATTGTTTTTGGACAAATGCTCGATATAAAAATACTTGGAGGATAGATCTACATAGAAATTTCAATCGAATTAAAATTAATTTACGGTAAAAATATTTGATAAGAGATACTTTTGAGCAAAACTGTACAGGAAGTCAAAACCGGAAATGTTACATTCGGTTTCATTCATCAGTTACTACATAAACAAATCTTGTCTGGCGAGCGCGAATTGATTTACTATTTGTGGTACTTAAAAAAGCTCAACTTCATATAAATAGATAAGATAAAAAGTATATTTTTTTCAAGTACATCGACTCATTTTTAAAACGCTCAACACTTTTTTTTATTTAGTACCAGCTCATTATTTGAAAAAAAATTAATAACTTGTCATCGGACCACTTCATTTGAAATGTATCGTTTTCATGACAGACACACTCACTAAATTTATGTTGCTTATACACATGTTTTAGTCTTTCTATAAATATATTATAGTCAATTTTCGGGCAGAGTTTAGAGCAGCTAAAGAACAGAATTGTACTTTTATCTCTGCTATGTTTTAATATGCACTAGAAAAGTGTCTCTTGGGACCACAGTAGACCAGGAGTCGAAGATGATCTCGTTGTTACGACACTGCGTTCGGGTATAAGGCCTGGTCTATGTCTCAATTCAATTGGTGCTGGCGCCGAGCGAGGCGGTGATAATAAGCCACTGGCGGCTGCACTATTCTGGCTGCTGCTTGACGACAGAACTGGTCTGCTGTGGTTTTTTTCGTTGAAAATGAAAAAAGAAAAGACACGATTAAAATTCAGATATGGAATAACGACAATTTTTATAAATTATGTATGTGCTTTTTCATTAACAATTAACATTATTCATACACATTTTTATATTATTATCAGATAACGAATACAAGTTTATTTTTCCGTCAAATTGTTTCTAACTTTTCAAGGTCTTGAGTGATTTTCAACTCATTATGTTAACTATGACTCAGGCAACAATAATGCAACTTGATTGATTTTTTAATATTTTCATTTGTAGAAGTACTATTTGCATAAATTGATAGCTAATATTTTAATATTTTCGCGTAAACATTCTAATCCCGGATGCTTTATATTATCATTTCTACAGTGTATAGTGAATCATTAAAAATTAAACATAGCTAAAAAAAATTTAGACTTGAAAAAAATGTAAGTTTTTCGTTTAGTAGTGAATTGTGTTAAAAAAGATGATTATCAATAAATGATGTAAAACAGTTTTTGAGATCTAATATTTGAATGTAAAAATTACAAAGAAATTCGTTTAACATTTAATTATGAAAGAAACTAATGTTCCTTTTGAAACATTATAAAATAGGCACATTTACAATATCATTATAGAAGTGATATGATGTATAAGTGTATAGTAGATAAGTACTTTACCCCTAAATAATTAAATTCTTGATTTTTTACATGAAAATTGTAACTTAAAATTTCTTGCTGATGAAAGCTTTAAATGTTTATGTTAATTATTTAGGGTTAAAGATTTAAACACAGGTGTATTAAAATATTTTCGGCGACATAAAATCCGCTAACATTAAAAGATATCTATGTGAACGCTATAAACATCACGGACAATCATTCTTGGACTATGAGAACATGTTTATTTTACATTCAATAAATCTATACTTCATGAAGAGGTAATCGAATAGAAATTAAATGTAAGTCTACCTATTGTGTCGACTTTTTTCATGTACAAGTACTATAAGGTAGAAATAATTTCCTCATAACAATAGAATAAAAGAAGTCAGAATGCCGATAACAAGAGAGCGCAGCGAGTCATTGACAATTTTTAATTTACATAGAACTGCCAACATGTGCGCGTGTACACTTGTAAATTTGCATGCACAAAAGTAACATTGTTTTGGTACAGGTACTAGCGCACAGTGTAGCTCATTAAAAGCTTCGACTAATGAGATTAAAGTTGCTCAACAGTATGTATACCTGTATACGTGCGCAACTGCGTTGACTTGTGTAAATGTGTATCCGTGTGTGTTCACGCGCGCGTATGTGTGCACGTAAAATACACATGTTATAGTTTTAGCAAATGTACGAACGCACATTGATAATGCAATCTCGCTCAAAGTGGATTCACTTGAGTTTGCCTGCACAATGCATCATGTGCACCGTAACGTTGCTAAATACAAATACTATTCACTTACATTTGGGGTTGGGTCTATTATTATCGTTACTTCCATCTTTTACTTGCTTTTATTTGAAGGCAAAATAGTTTATTAACTTGATTCAATCAATTTTCGCAGTTTTATTACTTCTTTCTATCAATTGAAAATTCGTAAGAATCTGTAGGAGAGATTTCTACCTTATAGTTTATTAATGATTTTCCATTTGTGAGAATAAGTTTCGATATAAATATACATTGATATGATTTCAGGTGTATTTACAATGAAGCTAAAGTTTTAGAAGAAAATTTCAGAATCGAAAACAAGTCAACCATACAAATACTTTGTTTGAAACTTTTTAGACCTATATCATGTAAGTACTTGGTCGTTTAATAATCCCAACACTTGAATAACTGCAGCTGTAAAAATAATATTGAAGAGCAAAAAATGAGTGGGTAATTTTCATATCGTCATTTTTTTCCTTATAGTTATTTCTCATCGTAAATTGAATTTTTTTGGTCTTCAAAAAATTTCATTTGACATGATCTAAAAAATCTGAAAATGCTTGTAATTCATAGTAAATTCATTATTACAGTATTCCAAATTATCCTTTCAAGTTGATTGAATTAGATGTTCGTTATCCGCCTTGAAATGTAACATGGAATACTGGCGAAAGAAAATGTACTTTTTTTTCCTCAATCTCAAACTAGTCACAAAATTTGATAATTTCGGCGACTCTTGAGACTACTTAAACAAATATTCAATAGATATCGAGGAATATTTTTGTTAAATATTTCAAAAGATAGCTGGGCAAAAGATGTAAAAGTGTAGGAAAGAAGGATAAGGAAATGGAGGTAAAATACAAAAAGAGGTAGTAATAATTATTTTCGAGAAAAGTCATAGAATAGAAAAATAGAAAAAGGTGGCTTTGTGCGTGCAAATGTGCGCCACCGGGTAGATAGATCACCTGATGGGTGCATAATCATCGATAGAGGCGCTAATGGTCATGCAAGTGATGTTCTGTTGATGTTGTTTAGGTGTCATCGGCGGAGGCGCGCTCGCCGACGAGCCCGTCCGCCGTCTTGGTACGCAGCCTACGCAGACGTCCCACCTTTCTGGCGCCCGCTTCTTCTTGGGCGGCACCTTGAGGAACCTCTTGGGCAGGTTAGCATTGCTAGCGCTGCTATTGTTGTGGCCGGTCGCCGTTTCGTCCGACGAGTCGGTCGAGAAGGCAGAAACCTCGTCCTCGGTGTCGGGCGGCTCCTCGTCGCGGCCGCGCGCCTCCTCCAGGAACACCGAGTCCGAGCCGAGCGAGCGCGAGTCTGGCTCGGGCGGATCGACGCTGCCCATCGACGCCAGGGGGGCTCGGCCGGATCTCGCGACTCGATGGCCCGCGGATGGAAAGCGGTATTGTGGCTGCTGTTGCTGTTGCCGATTGTAGGATGCCGGGACCGCCACGGAGCCATAGAGGCCGGCTTCGCTGCCACAGGGCGACAGCTCGGGCGTCGGCTGAATTACCTGCGAGCCGAATATTTTAATGGCTGTTCATGGGCACTTGTTCCGGCATTATCTTACCTGAATGTCGATCGGATGATAGTAGTCGTAGGTCTCGTCGTAGGCCACGGCATGCCTGGGGTAGGAGGGCGGCGGAGGCAAGCAGGGCATCACCATGGCCGAGCCGCGACGCTCGAGGTAGCTACTCGCCGTCGAGCTGCAGGTTATCGAGCTCGTGCGACGATGGGCCCATATGGATCGGTTGCTGCCCTTGGGGAATCGACGAGTGGCCGAAAGTAGCGAATCGTAGCCACCGCCGACCGAGGAGAATCGTGGCGCCGTCAGCGGTAAATGCGATTCGACGAAAGGCTGTCGTCGAATAGAGGTAACAATAAATTGACTTTTTATACGAGTCCTATGTATAATGACTTTGACAACTACTCACCTCGACGCAAAGCGATCTTCTTGGGCCTCGACCCGGTGGCTTAGGCGGTAGCCTGGCTATGGCCTCGAGCGCAGCTGCCAAAGCTCGTTCTTCGGCTTCTGCTTCGGCCACTGCTGCTTCGGCTGCTGCTGTTAGTCTGGGATCGTCCAGTTGACGGTTTGCCTTACATCTGACCGCATTCATTAAACTATTAATTTTTTTCTCGTTCTTTCTGTATGCCATTTTGAATAATTTATCAACATTGTTATTGAAATATTATTTTTAAAATTAATCTTTATCGCCCTACGCGACCTTCCGCATGAGTTGTGGCCGATATACTTTTCTAAGCTGCTTTACGGACTTTTTCTTCTTCGCCATCATTTTTGCATTTCAATGCATGAATTAATCATTTTTTGGTCGTTATGAGCTCTAGATAATTTCTTATCGCGTTTACATTAGTCGCGTATAAAAGGAAGCAGTATTTTTGTATTTCATTTCATCTTCATTCCATCATTTTTGTTACCACGTCGGTATGAAGTTAAACTGTTCAAAGTGAGTTAATTATGTTTGGGAGTGATTAATTTTCATTAAAAATGTTGATTCTAGCTTTTACTTTTTTTTTCTCGACAGCGTAATTGTAGGCTTGACGTTAGCTCTGCTAGCGACTGGATGCCTTTCTCTGAAAAGCGACGATCAGTTCCAAAAAGAACTCAAAGAAGTCATCTTAGACCTTGCCGACAATGATAAATTACTGGAACAATACGACCTAGGAGCGCCGTCATCGGAGAACGAGATTAAAGGTGATGACCGAGAATACTTCGATCACGTCAAGTTAGTATTCTCAAAAAAGCTCAAGGCTTTCGAGGCGGCCATGTTAGAGAGTATCGATCGAGTTGCTTCTGCCGAAAAGTTGTTGAAAGAAGATATTTCGCCCGATGACAAGATATTACGCCGCGTATGGATGAAGCAGTTGACGGTTGGATTCGTCATCGGAATGTTTGAACAATTGAACTATATGCGAAAGATGATCGACGAAACGCTCCAAATGTAATTATAGAGAGTCATTTTTTCCGATAAAAAAAAGGTGTCAATAAAAATTGAAAAGTTAAAGTGCTTTCGTACCTGCTCTTATAAATAACGAGAAGAACCATGATCGTAAAGAAACCGCCGAGGGTTGCGGCGATCCTGATGCCGGTCATCACGTCGTAAGTCTTGTAGAACTCGATTTTCAGCTGCTCGCGCTCGCTGAGCGTGGGTGGCGGCAATTCGTAGGTAGTCGCGGTCGTCGGCGTCGTCGACGTCGTCGTTGCCCCGTTTGTCGACACCGAACTCGTAATCGTCGTCCAACTTGCATTATTGCTGTTGTTGACGGCGATTGCCATACCTGCGATTCAAATTGTATGCACTCGTTAATGACATTATCCTGCTTTTTTTAAATTCATTTAAAAAACATAGTCAATAAAAAACATTTATATTCGGTATCGAATTATTTCAATGCTCGACACGTCTACAGCTGAAATCGACTCTTGCGCTCATCGTACACCGGATAACTGTTAAATAAATACCTACGGACTGGCCCTAAAAGTTCTGGGTATAGCATAACGCTACGAGGCCGTATCGATTCGAGTCTCGTATTAGCTTCAAATGACGTTATAAGTCGTCAAAGTTTACGCGCTGAAAATTTCAGGCAATATACAAATAGGTGAGAGCGATTGCGCTTCGCGCGCCAGCTTTCGCGCAGTGCATCCGACGATGAATTCGAATGCGAGCTCGAGTTGGTGAACTTTTGTGTACCGCTGAACTTGGGGCAAGTTTAAGCTTCGAATTCTCTCTCTCTCTCTCTCGCTTTGCGTATATCTTGGCAACAGTTTCGCTGTAAATGTATAACCGAATATTTAAGCGTTGGCGGCTTATCCGCCTGCAGCTTCGTGGACTCACCTAGAATGTAAACTGATACTTCGCTACTGTACGAGTCATCGAACTAGTTTCGTTGTTTCGATCATATTTCGACTGCTGGAATGTTCTCGATCGCTCTATTATTATGTTTAGCCCAGAAAATATTAATTTTCGCATAGTTATTATTTTTTTCATCAATCTGCGAGTGAGTTTTTATTTTGAGGGTGCGACATCTCAACAGTAGTCTCGGTCAATCTTTGGTCAAACGCACCAGTCACGGGTCAACTGCACAAAGAAAAGCTTTGACGCCTGTTAAAAAGAAAAATATAAATCTAACTAGTATCTCGCGTTTCAAACGTCCTGGTAGATATAACAAGGAAAACCTCGTTGTCAACCTATAGCTAAATATCCACCTATGCAGACGCCTAAACTCGACACGCGCAATGACCCAGTAAAAAAGAAGGTCGGAGACGGATTATATCATCCTCCCCATTTTCCAGTCTCGCTAGCTTTATGGGTACGTATGTACAAAGAGTGAAAAAAAAACCAGGCCGAGGATCGGTGTGCAACAGGCAAAGGGTGCACCAAAACCAATGGCTACGGCTGTGGCTAGTTGATGGTGTTTCATACCCCGACATTATTGATTTTTCTTCATCTGCCACCCATAATAATTGAATAAGAGGTAGAAAATTTGTCTTCGATTTCAACTTACGAATTTGACAATTTTACCAGAAACTCCAACAAACTAAATATAACATTTAAAATAAATTAATTGGTTTACCATGAAAAAACTACAAAAGTGTAAACGGTAAAAGGTAAAGTATCACGAAAAAAATAAAGAAAATTGTAGAGTAGAATTATATGCTCCCATTTCTTTACTTGCTAGCGAAACTATTAGTTTTACAGTTTGTAGCGTATATTTTTATAAATGTGAGTCTGCTTCGTAGCGCGCTCCGAGTAGCAAATTTTTTTCGCTTTTTTTCTCTTTCTTTTTCTTTATTTTTTTTTCAGCATTGTGTTGCACTAACTGTACTTAACTACAAAATATCGGTAAACCATTATGTAATTACAGTGAAGCGTTTATTGCATGAAGAGAAATGTTTCATAATCTAATGAGTTTAATATCAAATCTTTTACTGCTACTTTATTGTCATTTTTCTCTGCAGTTGAAAATCTAGTAGATAATTTTTCAACTTTTTCTATTGTACATATTAATGCAACATAAATTAATATAGAAATATGGAAAAATGAATCTTTTTTGTAATAACTTATTACTAATAAGTTACCATGTGGGCTTCGAAAGTTGCTCACAGTCTTAGTCTCTCGCCATTAGAGTCTTTTTGGTATTTCATTATTTTTCAATGTTTCTTTGAGTAAATGTGAATACATTTTTTCAACAAAATTTTCTAGTAATAATAATTTTGGAAAATATCCAAAAGAACATATATTTGCCATTTGAGAGTCAAAATATCGCGCATTTGTAAAATCAATTTTACCTTGTTATTTACTTATATTTAGATATAAATCTGGGTTTTATAGTAAATACTATTAGAATTTTTTCAAAAGGTACATTTAAAAATGAAATATATTAATAAGAATAAGTAAAAAAACGATAAGAAACATTGAAAAATAGCTGAATTCCAAAAAATCAACGTTAAATGGTTTATTCGTCAGGTCACGGTTAAAGAAGTCGTTTGCTCAAGTTTGTGGGTACTCTCTTTTTATGCCATAAACTCTCTTTGATTATTATTTCTATAAGTAATTTTCGAAAACATCTATTTTTTAATTTCTTCTAATATACACTCTAGTCAACTGGCTATTGTGTAAATACGATCTAGAGATATGTCAAAAGTTTGAGAAAAACACGACTCCGCTTGCTAGAGAAAATATCAGGGAAGGAGAAAGTGGAGCATTGAAAGTGCACAAGTAATGGGAATCTATTGAAGCTTATGCCTGGAAGTATTCCTTTTCATGCATCGATTCAACAATGCTGAAATGATAAGAAAGTCAGAGCTGTATCAAGAAGCTCGACTCATGATTCGACAAGATTACTAAGCTTGTTTCTTTTGTACCGCTCGACTGATACGTAATATACATTTCACTCAAAAACCAAAAATCAGTTAACCAAGTAAAGACTTTAATTCTTATCATCATTCGGATAATTACTACATCCAAACAACTATACAATACTTTTTAGATTTCGTTTTTTTTACTCCTTTATATCCACTTTTATACTCATAAGATAATATTGCTGCTCTAACTTCAGAAGAACGAGATTAAATTAATATTAATGTAATTTTTTTTTGTGTTGTCTTATGTACGTATGGAGTTCTCGCATCAAATCACAATCACATGAAAAATCACATGAAATTACGTGCTTTCTAGTTGAAAAGGGCATAAGCCATGGTATCATGTAAATAAGCTAAATTGCTTGTATGTAAGAGCAAGAAAAGAAAAATCTCATAAATAAGAGTCAATAACGTGAAAAAATGTATTCCTCTCGAACGATTTTTCTGTTGAAAGACCATATACTCAAAACTTATTATTATAGAAGCGAATCCAATAACATTTGAAGAATATCAGCAGTCTAAACAAGTTTTGCAGTAAAAATTAATCGGTTCTATCCGCAAGACTTTCGTTGTGATTTACTTGTCATTCATTTAACACATAACGACAGTAATAGCAAGTATGCACAGTTTAAATTTTTCTCAATCATTATCACGGATACATCTTGATTACTTTTTGTAGCGCATTGACTATACGATCGCCGTTTTATTTTTGTATATCGACGACTTGATGATCGTTTTCAAAGTTTAGGTACAGTGGATCGAGTATTTTTTAATCAAAAAGTAAAATTCCTATTCATTCCCCAGCGATGATATCGACAATTCTTCTTAGAAAACGAGCTGAAATTGTGCAAATAGCGAGCTCACTGAGTATTGAAAAACTAGAGTAAATGAGCAATATTGCAGAGATTAGAATTTCATTTTTTCAAAAGAAAAAAAAACTTTAACTCAGAAGTCCGCAAATTTGTGGAGATTGATGAATCTTTTTTGTATTGGTTTGCTGGCATTCCATTGAACGCTTCGACGATTTTGATTTTCTTTGGGGTTATCGTATATTTTTCTAAAATGCTTGGCATCGCTTGGATAAAGGATCAAATTTTCGAGAAAAATAATATTCACGTATTCAAACGGTGATAGTTTCATGGGAGTTGCTGTAACTCGTACGTATCGTGTAGTACATTACTCTCTTGGACTATAGTTTGTATAACTTGTTGCACAAATATCAGGATATAACTAGGAAACGAGCGCTGTATATAAATTGTATTTGGTGAATTGGTTATGGTGTTATGTTAAAAACTTTTTTCGTGCTGTTTTTAATTCATCAATTCGACAGAAGTTTGTTTCATAGTCTAATATTATTTGCTTCATAATTTAAATTGTTATTTATTGCAATATAATTCAATATAACTGTTTTTCATAAAATGATGAATGAAATTTCATTGAAAAAATCGTTGAAATATTATTAAGCTATAAATATTTATAAAATTAGAAAATGAGGTAAATTTTTGCGAGTTTCCTCGCAACGTAATTTCCTTAAACTACTTCACTTTTTCCAGCCGGCACAGAATTGCTTAAAATGGAATTGGTATGTTGATGAACTTTATTAGAAAAAAGCTTAAAAGTACGCATAAAGTCAAAAAATAAATTCTTTATTTCAAGATTTTTAAAGTGAGGTATTAAAACACTTGCATTTTGTTAGAAATCATTTGTTTTATAAAGAAAAGTTTTCAATGGCTTTGAACAATATTAATGCAAAAATTGATATCCATATTAAGAAACTAGAAAGTAAAATATTCGTAGTAAGTAGTTTAATACAGCCTACAAGAAATTATTTTATTTCAGCTTCGTCTAATCACTTTTACAGAAAGCTTAGACCTCTCATGTTAACGATACGATTATTACATTCATAAGTTCGTTTTAAAAACAATAATAGTTGATGAAATATTTTGCCCGATGGTACAGATTTAAAATAATTTGTTTAGTTATCATAAATGATAATTGCTAAAGAGATTTCCTCACAAGAATTGCTTTAAACGCATAGCAAAATGAGTGAAATGATGGTTATCGATGGATTTTAATTTTATCATCGTTAACAGTTTTGTTAAATTATACACAACTAATCATCTCATGGAGTAGAAGCTGTAAAACGCAAATGCTCATATAATTATCGATGAAATCGTGTACTTGAGCATTAAAAGTTATCGGAACATTATTAGCATGTACTCGGCTGCACAGAATATTGAATAATGTAAGTCGAGTGGGGAAGTATTATCTCTATTGCGTCGTTACGACGTTATGACGTATTGTGCAGAGAACACAAGTGACTACTCATGCAAGCTCAAAACAAGAAAAAAAAAATGAAAATGAACTCGATAAGTTTGCGTAAGCTTGTCGTAAGCGGCTAAAGGAGAGTGCAAGGAGG